TATCATTACAGATGGGTTAAGGCAAATGACAAATTTTAAAGAAGCTGATAATTCTGATGAAAAGACAATACAGAACATGGGACAAGCTTTAAGTTGATTGGCCATCAAGCTCTGTCTGGTAGTAATAATTTTGTCATACATAATGTAGATTTGAAGATCAGTTTAAGTAAATTGGAATTGTGTAGTTGTAGATCACCATCTGGCATGGGCTGAGATAAATGAAAATGTTGCAGATTTGAGGGAAACAACAAAGTGACATATTGGCTAAGTCAACATGAAATGATCAAGAGAGCCTCTCACATTTATGATTATTGTGAACAAAGGGGGAGAAATGATTGACTGACATTGACCAAGTCTGTACAGCACGACCTGACCTGATAGGGAAAATTGATGACTTTGGAAATGTTTGTAGATGACTGACTTGAGAGACCAAACAACAGGCCTGAAAAGCAAGATACGCTGTGAGACTGAGGGCCGTTGCCTTTCAAATACTGCGAGAAGAAGATGAGATTGTGGCTTTAAGTGAAGAATGTAATATTTTTGTTTCAGAGGCAGAGGAATTTGTCTGAAGGACAACGTTTGGGTTAGTGTTGATGGAAAACTTTATAAAAAACACTATGTTAAATGTTATGTTAAATTGATGCTCGAGGTGTGTCGTGCATCAAGAGGGAGATGGTATAACAATTGCCAAATATGGTTTATTAAGGGGTTCACATTTGCTGAATAAATGTTGGGAGAACACTAGGGGTAATTTGATAAAAGCCCTGAAAGAAGCCATTTTTTCTGCCTAACAAAATTGATGTCTGTGAGTGTGCACACACCAATAACAAAGATTGTTTCAACAGGAAACGCCAGGGCATCGAAGGCCACGGGAGAACAGTAGACAAAAGAAACTACGTACTTTACTATCTGACAATAACCTCGAAATTTGTTTCTCTTTACAGAGAGCATGCAGGATTGGGAGACAGGGCAAAATGTGCCAATAAAATAATGGTTATGGATGAATTTGGCTAACTATCCTGGCCTGGGTTATTATTGTGGCAGAAAGGTGCTACACCTGCGCAGCGCATAACTTAAAATTTTCCTTTTACAGAATGTCAGGATGGATTGGATCAAACAGAACTAATTCTGTTCCAAATGTATAAATATTGTGTGGACATGAGCAAAGTGGGTTGAGTGTTTTTCAGGGTAAAAGGACCCCGAGTGCTATCAAGTGATAATATGTTTCAGGTTATTGATTCCACAGGTCACACCAAAGGGGACGAGCTGCTAGACAAGCGGTCACTAACAAAATACTTAAGGTCTCCATTCACAGGTGACAGTTCACTCCAGTGGGGGGTGCGGTCGTGATATAAGGGAAAACCTTATAAGGATCAGAAAATGGTTGGAGAGTGTGACACCTGGGTCCAAGCCTCTCACCTACACCAACAGGCCACAACCATCCCATAGTCCATGGGGCGAACGAGATGATCAACACGCCTGGAGGAGGATGTGAACCAACTAATGGTTTAAGAATGTGGTTTTGTGATTATTTTGAGGATTTTATTTGATTAAATCAAAATAGGGCTTAGTATTGATATACAGTAGATCAAAAGATTTGATTGGTTACTTATTCATTAGGAAATATTTAAGGAAAATGTTTTTGGGAAGAGAAGATCTATTAATTAATGTAAATTATAGGGATAATTGTTGAAGCTTATTAAGTAGAACCACAGCATGTTTGAATTAAAAGTTAAAGGTAAAAGAACACGGAACGTCCGTGGGGCGAACGAGATGATCAACACAACTGATGGTTTAAGTTTAACAGAAGAATCTGTTTTTGTGATGATTTTGTTTGATTGAATCAAACTAGGTATTGATTTGATTGTAAATGTAGAAAATATATTGATTGTGTCTGTAATGGAAATATTAGAGTTAATATTGAACAACTGCATTGGTTAGAAGAATGGATAAAATTATAAGACTTCTCTGGTTAGATTTTGTTAAATATGGCATTAAATAGAGCTTACTAAATTGAATTAGAAGTGAACACAATATGGTTAGGAAAACCGAGGTGAAATATGGAGATGGGCGTAGATTAATGGAAAAGGCTTAATGATAGGAGTTAGGATTGTTATTCTAATAATTTTGTTATTCATGGGTGAATATGATTACAGTGACAGGTGAAACATGCTGTCTGTTCAATTGGTGAAAATGACAGTCTATCCCAAGGATGAACAAAATTATGTGACGATACAGGTAGCGGGAGCTACAGTGAGATATGTGTTAAATGTATGTTCTGTTTGTTTTTCTTCTATTTGTTTATTTTCTGAGAAAGATTAAGGGCAAAAGATTTAAAGAGGGTTAAAAGCAGCAGTCATCCGTGTTACGAGATGGCGTACAAGGACAGGGGTTGAAACTGAGGGATTTTTTATTATACTTTTATCTGTTTGTTTCCTTACTATGTTATAACTACCTTTTTCCTTACTGGTGTGACTGAGGGTCTGTTTACAGGAGCGCAGGAACAGGGATTTCTCGCTTAGCCCGGCACCGTAAACATGTTTACTTGCTTGCTAAAATATTACGGGGCCTTTCCCCCACAAAAACAGCCTTATGCTTCTTCATTCTAAACTTTTCTTCACAGGTTCAAGGAGAGTGATCATTTATGCAAAAATCAGAGATGAAGAGAATAAGTGTGATGATATGACTTAAAATTTGTTTTATTGTTTATTATTGTGATTATGGGTAATCAGAATGATAAAAAGTGAGGAGTTGTGGTGGCAATTTTAATGATATTCATTGATCTTTAGTTAAATATAGATGATTCAAAGAATGTCACATGTGTGTCTCTCACTTGTAGTGAGAGAGGATTCTGTTTATGTACCTGGGGAGGCAGAAGAGGGAGACACTCCAGAGAACAGACGAACAAGGACCTCTGACCTAGATGTCAGAAGGCCACTTAGTGCAGGGGAGCTTAGTGGGCCAACTAGTGACGTCTATGGAAAACCAGTCCTTCCAGAGAAACGCGGAGTTTTTTTGTGATTGTTGCGGGCAAAAATCCTTGATTACGCGGCCCGTTTTCTTTAAAAATGCGATGGAATATGCGGGATATTTATGCAATTTTTTGCGATGAAATTGCGGGAACTTGCAAAAATTGCGGGAACTTGCAAAAATTGCGGGAACTTGCAAAAACTGAGGTTTGATGAAAAAGAGAAAAAAAAAAGTGATTCCCCCAACACCCTGTTCTCACTAGGCTACTACCTTAATGTAAAGAGTCCTTTCTTATTACTTCCTATGATAAGCAAGCATACTACATCACAGAAAGTGCTGGAAATATTTAATTTCTCATCTTGTTTTATTTCAGACTGTAACGAGTGGAAATAAGGTGTGGCCCCTTTAAGAGCTGCGCGCTCCCTGTCTAACTGTCTGCAGTATTATATTGTGTGTGCCATGCGCCTCGAACACCCATTGCGTGCGGGTAATTTCTGTTTGATGCTACTTTTATCTTATTTTGTTTATTAAGTAACGATGTGGACGGTAGAACGTGTGACAGACAGTTACGAGTTCGATTTGGGAATAAAGTGCGAGTTGTGAGATGCCAATCGCCTCCGTGAGTCTGTCTGGCCTCTGCAATAACTTCAGCTGTGAGCTATCCCTATTTTTCTTCCCGACACAACGCGTTACAAGACCTTAATAAACACATCAAACTTACAAAACATTGCTGAGTCAAACAAGTTCTGTAGCTTTACTAGAGGAATATGCTACAACTTCAGTAAAAATGAATAAATGAAATATTTTAAAATAAAGTGTGCTCCTGTTTAACAGCTTTTCAATGATGTTCACGTCGCGTAATTACGTCACTTCATAACGTTCCCATGGCAACAGGGGGAAGTGGCTGCTCTTGTGTGAAGCAAACGCAACATTTTCCAACTTTCTGCTAAGATATATGTGACTTTTTTGCGACGAAAATGGGGGGATTATGAAATCATGCAAGCCCCGCATATTTTGCGCGGAAATCAGCAATTTATGCGGCGAAATTGCGGAGTATTTGAAAAAATGCGACCCCCGCAAAAATATGCGGACTTTGGCTGATTTTGCATTGAATTCAGCGATCGCATAATCGCGTTTTTCTGGAGGGACTGGAAAACTACTGGGAGGAAGGCTCTGGGGGGAAGAAGGCCTTGAAACTAAGATAAAAGCTAGTTCAGTCTGTCTGGGGGGGTGTCACTCTTCTGCACAGGGTAACAACTGTGTATTAGACTGCTCCTATTCTTGCAAGAATAAATACTTCTATTTTATATAATTTGACTCTGAGTGTCTCTTACGCAGTGATGTTTGTTTGAGATGAATTTTTGCCACAACACTATTTTAATGGTTCCTAATTAGTTTTGGATGTCTCCTACAATAAGTTTACGAGCATCCAAGGTCAAAAACACTTTAATTTTCCCACAATATACATTGAACATCACCTCATTTCTCGGAGTCTGAAAACAGTTAATTCGAAGATTCAGTCTCTCTAAACCCATCCTATTGATAGATTGGTGAATTCAGGGTGATTGGGACACTTTTTTGCCATTGAGATAATTTGGAAAAAGTGCCCGAATTAACCTGAATTCACCCTAATGCTACAATCTTTTCATTCATTTTCACATTTCAATTTAATCCCAACAGTCATCGTTTTCGTTTAATTATGTTTTTAACCATTTTGTTTAATCTCGTTTATTTTTTTGCACCCGTATCTTGAATTTGGGGGGCATTTTGAAGGCAAGCCTTTTTCCCAAAGCCCGTTCATTTCTGACCCTGATCTGATACATGTCTCTGAACAATTAAACTCAGGGATTAAAGTTGTACGAGTCATTTCTTGCCCCCGTATCTTGGATTTTGGAGGAAACTTTTGTTCATTGTGATACCATTTGTGCCCCAAGCCTTTGTTAATTTCTCACACATGACCTCTCTGCAATCCAATTGATGGACATCCGTCACAGCGATGGAAAACTTGAATCCATTTTTAGGACACTTACCCACGGCCCCATCTGGAGGGGCGATCTTCATGGGATAGGGGGGCACGTGAGCGGTGTCCGGACCGCCATCTTTACAGGGGCAGGTGAAGGGTATACGCTCCTGGTTGCAAGCAAACTTGATGAACTTGCTGAGCTCCTCCTGCGTGAACATCTCGAGTGCGGACCAGAAGAACTCAATGTGCTGGTCAGTCTCCATCAGTCCTACCTGGTACATAGTGTGAGCCTAGATGAACGTGATGAGGAGAATGGGTTTGGTGAGTAAGGTAGTCACAGGTGTTTGTATAAATTACACACAGTTGTTTGTAGTATACAAACTGGAATTCTGCAGTCAAATATTTCTGTGTAATGAGTGTAAGTGACCATCCCAAATGATTTTCTATATAGCTGGGTTAGTTTGGTCTCTGCACTCTCTCTCTCTTCAAACACCATTTATGCCCAAATCAATATTTCATGTCTAATGTTTATTTGGTGAGCCACCGTGTAATTTGTGGGATAATGTAATGTCAATTGGTCACAAAATAAACCCCTTCAGGGTGACACAGGACTAGGTTAATTTCATGGTAACTACCACTGAATTGTCAAAAAAGGAAACTGATCATAGTAAAAATGCTGTAAAGGCTTTTTACGTTTTTTATTTTAAGTGCGACTGTCATTTGATCGAATGTTGAACTAGTTGGCAATGTGAAAACGGTTTAAAAGATATGTTAAGGGTGTGAGATGAATGTCTCCACATAAGCTACTCCTTCTGAAAGAAAAATACACTTTAGCATACTAGCGAAATAGTACTTATTACGGAAATAATATACGTAAAAAGAAAATAATTAAGTGTAAATTGAATGTAATGTTTTCGGACACTTAAATGAAAATGTGTTATAGTTTAAATTTGTATTAAATGCAATTAGCTGAACTTTAGAGTGCTTTTTGACGCACTTATCTAAAACTTAAGTACATCTTAAAATGTAATTTCATAATTACTTTTATTGTCTTTGAAATATAGTTAAAATATACTGCCGAATGTAAAGACAATAATTTATGGTAAACTAAAATAAAGCAATAAGCCCCACGAAGCCGTGATTTACAGTGAATTTAGAACAGCTAAGGGGCGTTGTTAGGCACGACGCGGAGCGGAGAATGCTTTTTCTAGCTTTTTTTTAGAAGAGCTACACTGTTCTAAATTCACTGTGCTTATAGCAACAAAAAAATATAACTTTATAACACATTTATTCCTCCGCCAAGCAATGTAGTTCCAAAGAGGTTGCCAAGCAACACATGCAGCAATAAAGAATCACAAACGGCTAATGTAATACTAATGTAATGCGGTCAGGTGTGTGTTTGTTGAGTATTTTACAACGGCTTTGAACGTGGCTCAACCAATCAGAATCAAGGACCGGAACTATCTGTTTTATAATATACTCTTTTCCATTTTCTATTGACATTTCAATATAAATGCCATTTCTATTAAAACTTGTTTCAAGTATTTAAATATATTAGTGCTGTCAAACGATTAAAATATTTAATCGCGATTAATCGCATTAACGTCATAGTTAACTTGCAATTAATCGCACATTTTTATCTATTCTAAATGTCTCTTGATTTCTTTTTGTCCCATTTTTTCTCATTTTAATGCTCATCAACATGGAAAAGTGGATCGGCTTGCTTTCTGCAAATGTTTTTTTTTATTGAAAACAACATTGGCATATACAGTGTTCAATTTCACACTAACATTCTCACTTGGAGCAAATAATCTCCCAATGTAACACTGTCCATCAATAAAAGGGTGAAATAAATACTGACGAGGTACTGATATTGACCAGGGGGCGGAGAATTCGCATCAGCTGTGTGTGTGTGTGCTTGGCCATCATCAAGTGGTATTTCAGACTGGACGTGCTGCGATGATGATAGCTCAGTTCACAAAGACAAAACACACAGATCACTTTGGTCTTGTCAATGGAACCATTTGGCAAATTTTTAAAAGTAAACTTTCCATTCAGAATCTTATTGGCATCCATTTCGGCATCTCGCGCTCGTCATCCACTCAAAACTTAACGTTAACCAACTATTTGGCCGGCTCGCAAGCCCAAACAAGTGTGTGCGGCGTGCCTGTTGCTTTGTTTCCAGTCTAGCTAGATCCGCTTGCGCTTTGGTCGACGAAGCAACAAAACATGCTCGCGCCATTTAAATGAATGGGTTTCATAGCGCAGCGCCGCGCATGCCGCGTCCGGTTGCAAAAGCATGTGAAAAAAACTACAACGTTTGCTAGGCCAAAAAGACCGGTAATCTCGCGATAAAAAAATGAACGTTGTTAAAATGGGTTTGCGTTAACGCCGTTAATAACGCGTTGAACTGACAGCCCTACAATATATATCTGTAATGACATATTTGTAATGAAGTTGGAATTTAGTAAATTTACAAAAATATTAAATAATAATAAATGTAATTTCTAATAACACACTACAGTTAAAACTAGAATCAAGTCCTCAAGTCCCTGTTTTTGGTTTGATTTCATGGAAAGGTTTTCATGTCTTATTTTTGAAATTTGTTCATGTCATGCGTTTCCCTGTTCCCCTCATGTGATCTTGTCTTTTGGTTCCTTAGTATACTGTATGTGTCATGTTCTAAATGGTTTATTTTCTTATCAGTTTTCTTTTCATTGGTTCATGTTCTTTACATCCAACTTGCCATTGGTTGTTGTTGTCACATTTATATTCATGTTTATTTTATATTCAAAGTCCTCTTTAGTTCAAGTCATCGTCTTGTTTTGTTCACTTTGGATTATGCAAATAAACTGCATTCATCTCAACTCGCCTACAGTGGACTAATGTTACACTTTACATGTGCTTTGGAGTGTTAGTCAACACATCAAATTAAGTGTACTTAAAGCATCCCAAAAGATTATTACAACAATGGTTTAAATCTACTTTTACTTTAAACATTTAATTTGACAATATGCACGTTTTAAAAGTCTATTCAAGAGTCAAGAAAGTGTAATCTCCTTAAGTGGCCTTTTAATTCGTTAATATTATATTATCGGTGAGAACAGCTTTCTAAAAATGAAATTGTAGTGAATGTGCACTTGTAGTGTACATCAAATCTTAATTACCGTAAGCACCGTATCGTATTCTCAAGTCTAAGATAAAGGCAAGAGGGTTAAATAAAAGACAGAAGCAGAGGAGATTGTTCTGATTCACCTTGAGGAACTCCAGGTTGATGTCGGGCAGGCCGCAGGTGCGCAGCTCCACCTCTGCAGGGCTCAGTAAGGTCAGCAGCTGCAGGGGTATGATGGAGCCCAGACCAGCGCGCACAGCCGACATGCACTCCACATTCTGCAGCTCTCGCAGGCGTAACTCCCGCACCGCTCGCACGTACACCTCTTTATTCTCCCAGCTGAACAAACACACATATCGTATATGAATCACATATTTTGCTCAATCTTTCCATCACATTCAAGAAGCATTTAACGTTTCTTGATTAGGCAACCCCTACAATAAAACATCCAGTTGTTGGGTCTAATACAATATAAATTTAAGCTTCATGAACAGTATTATATAAATCGGTCAACGGCTCCTACCTGACAGCGATGTCACGACCACCATGGCACAGCTCTACCTCCTCTCCAGTCATAGTGATGTAGGTGAATGTGCAGCAGGGGCGGCTTGGTGAATCAGGACTCTCACCCAAGTGGCTCTGCGACGATACATCAGCACATAGCGCTTCCAGCTCCGCTTCATCGGCCAACTGTGAGGACGAGAGAACAAGGAGAGGGTTCAGCGTTAAAGCGGAAGATGAAAAAGAAGTACTCATTACAGAAATAATCTTTGAAAGAATAAAGTACGGTAAAAACGAAATGTAACGTTTTCAGACAATTAACTGCATGTTAAGTGCAATTAAATGAAAATGTATTATATTATAATTGTTTCTCATAGGGACATAAGGTACTTTCAACATTTATAGGGGCTAGTCTGTGGTTTTTATTGCCGTCCGAATTCAGAATGTCAGTGTTTTTCTCCCACCAACCGCGTAAAAATCCCCCGGCTGAATTTCCTACTGTTTTTTGACAAACGCCTAGGTCGTGTGGGAAATTAATAGACGCCCAAATCCACATCTCTGAGTTTACAAGCGGAGATCAATTCAAATTCAAAACAGTACAATAAGTGTTGCGCTTTACTGTATTTTGCATGCATTCTAAATATATACACTTTTATTACTGAAAAGTATTTACAAGAACAATATTTCATCACCGCTCCACCTCAGCGAAAGAACAGGGGGAAAAAAGCAAGTAAACATTTGAAATGGGCCAATACAGCAATACAATTTTAAAATGTATTACATAGTTTGTATTTTTTTTAATGTATATAATTCTAAGCAGCTTTATCTTTACCTCGTGTAAATAAGAGGCTGCATTAACTTATTTCCGCTTATTTCCATATTGTTAAAAATGAAAAATTACATCCATCATTTTGAGATAAAATGCAAGATAGAAAACCATCTCATCTATAGCACATCTATCTTCCTGTATTTAAACAGGCGATTTAAATAATAAATAGGATACTATCTTGCTATTATTAAATCAAATATGAATCTATTCTTATTATTATTATGATGATATAACATTTTATTTACAGCAGACATTCATGCGACCACGTGAACAGCGCATTCCCGGGTTCGTAGGATACACGCTCCTCCACCGTGAATAAATCGCCATCTGAATGCAAGAGTTTTGCCATGCAAATTTATTTTTACAGACAACCACGTAGGAAAACAATTATCGTCTAAATAGGGCTATAGTTTACATTTATATTTAATGCAAACAGTTGAACTTTAGAGCGGGGTGTTAATTGTATTTAAATTTAAACTAATTTTAGTCTAAATGCATATTAAATGCAATTAGCGGAAAATGAAGTGTACTTTTATTTAATTAAAATATTATCTGCATGTAGTTTTTTTAAACATACTTTTAATATTTGAAGTGCACTAAAAGGAACATTCAATACAATTAAGCTCACTTATTTTTTGAAAGGGTATAGCTATGGATAAATGCAGAAACCATGATATTGGAATAGTAAAACCAATTACATAATTGTGGTCAATATCCATGTCACATCACACTCGCTCCAGAGATGAAAAAATTAAGAAATTAAAGGCTATTCATTGTATAATATGAATTATAATTTACATTCTCAAACTTCTTAATGTGGCTGTATGTGAGCAGGTCCGCTTCTCGAAAGTCAGATTCTGGGTCCAGTGGCTCACCGACCAGACCCTTCCAGAAGGAGCCGAGCAGATCCAAAGGCAGAGGAACATCTGCCCGGATAGCAATACCAAGCAGTTGGCCAAAGAAGTTCAGTAGCTGCTCTTCAGCATAAGTGATGGGGCACGGTGTCAGAATGTACTTCCCCTGAAACACACCCACAACAAAAGTCAAGCTGTGTTCACATGTACCACAGGATGTAGCACAAAAGAACAACAAATCAAACATGCATGCAAACCTTATTGCGATTTACTGCAGCACTAGGGCAAGGGAGGAGCAGTGAGAGCGCTGAACTTTGCAGCTCCTTACAGACTTGCCACAAGAAATGCCTGAATGATCCACCTGAGCAAATATGACATGCAAGAAGCATATAAACTTTTGTTTTCGTAAATGGAAATAAAGCTGAAATAGAATAAAATATAAATATTAGATGAAAAACTGAAACGAATTAAGCTTGAGTTGAAGTTATCAAATTACTAAAATTAAACTGAAATGAAATAAAATATAAATATTAGATAAAAAGCAAACAAAAAAATTGAAAAGTTGCCTTTGCAACTAACTGATTTGAAATAAGTTAAAGTACTAAAATGATGATTATAAACTAAAACAATAATTGAAATAAAGCTGAAATAAAATGATATTAGATCAAACTTAAACTTGAATGAAAATTTTAAAAATTTACCTTTTGCAACTAACTGAAATAAAATAAGTTAAATTACTAAAACTACAACTGAATTAAAATAAAGACAGAAATATTTAAAAAATAAAAGCAATAAATGACAAATCACAATCTTATGAAAATAAAAAGGTAATTTAAGATATTAACAAATACTATAATAGTATATAAATAATACTGAAATAAAATAAGTTTAAGTACTAAAATTATGATTGTAAACTAAAAACAATAATGGAAATAAAGCTGAAAAAAATGATCAACTTAAATGAAAATTTTTAAAGTTGCCTTTTCAACTAACTGAAATAAAATAAAAAACTTCATAATAAATTAATAAACACTATAACAGTATATACACAATAAAATAAGACTCTCCGACACTAGTTATGCCCATGTAAGAAAAAAACAAAACAAAAAAACAGCAAAACTGTACAACACACAAGGAACGTTTGTTATTGTTGGGACAGTGATTCGGATGTAGTGTTTAGTGCATGAAAGCAGTCTGTAACACTGACTGGTGCCATGGACCTCCTCCCCGGTGAAGCGGATGTTGAAAGCATAGGTGGGGTCTCCCCCACTGGCTATCCGGACACACAGCTGAGACGACGGGACACATGACAGCTGGCGTGCAGCCTGGCAGAAGTATGTGTTCTCTGCTGCACGCATCTCTCCTGTAATACACAGGTGTAAGTGTGAAGAACTGATAGCACAAACCAGCTTCAGTGTGAGTGATGCTTCGTTCAGTTTACCTCCCACTATCTCCAGTGGATCGAGTGTGATCTCAGGGGCAGCGTGGTCCGCAGTCCGCTGTACTGTTGCATTCAGCACCCGGTTCATAACAGTCACTTTGGTGTCGTATAAAATCAGGCCTACAAATGAAATAGTGGAAAAAAAGAAGCCTTGTGAAAAAGAAGTGCACTCAATCGTCTTCAAATCTTAAAAGTAAGCAAGTCTAGTTCCAGCGGAAGAGTGACCTCTGCCAGTGATTATAGTTTATTATAAAGTTATAATTATGGATATTTTTCTAAGGAATATGTATCGATTTGCTTCAGAAGGCCTTTATTAACCCTCTGGAGTCGTATGTGTTAAGTTTAAGACATGTTAAGTTTAAGACATTAAAAAAAAATTTGTTCATGCACATTATACCTCTGTGCTGAATATTGTTTAATATTTCACATGACGCTTTACCGGGAATAAAAATGGGACTCATATTATGAAGTTCCCGGAAGTGCGGTTGTTGTGGTTGTTCGAGCACGAACGGTGTGGTGTAACGTTTTGGTGTTGACGAATAAACGGATGATCGATTCTGAAGTGTATCTTTTTGTATAACATTGGTAGCAGAGGATGGTTAGCAACTACAGAGTACCACCAACATTTGATGAAGGAAAACCATATGAAAGTTGGAAGAATGAAGTCGCAATTTGGACCAGGGTTACGGAGCTCGAAAAAAAGAAACAGGCACTTGCTGTGGCTTTGGCGCTGTCGGGAAGAGCGAGAGAAACGGCAATGGAAATACCGGTAGATGATTTGAATAAGGACACTGGCATGGACACTTTACTTGTGAAACTCGATGATTTGTTTCTCAAAGAAGAAAAGGACCAAGTTTATGAGGCGTACTCGAGTTTTGACCGGATTATGAAAGATAGCGCTGTTTCCATGACAGACTATATAATTGATTTTGAACAGCGGTACTCGCGGATGCGTAAATATAAGATGGAGCTTCCCGATGCAGTGTTAGCATTCAAACTGCTCGACACCGCGTGCTTAGAAGTGAAAGACCGACAGTTAGCTCTGACAGCATGTACAGATTTGAATTTTGCTTCAATGAAGTCAGCACTGAAGAGGATTTTCGGAGGAAAGTCTGCTTCTACAGTGGGGATTAATCAGGAAACAGCATATGTAACGGAACAAAGACGACAAAGGAGCAAGCCATGGTCGCAAAATGTTCAGCAAAAGACACCACTGCCTGGTACTAACCCTCTGGACAGGTATGGACGCAGATCAAAATGTGCTGTTTGTCAAAGCACGTTCCACTGGGCCAAAGACTGTCCACACAGAGGTGAGCAAGTCAAACTGACTGAAGATTGTAAAACAGATGATATAGAGGAGTGCAACATTACTCTGTATACAAAAGAGTCGCCCACTGAAGCAGAAATATTTATGACAGAGTGTTTCGGCTCAGCAATAATAGACACTGCATGCACACGGACTGTGTGTGGACAGGAATGGATAAATAGCTACATCGCTGAACTAAGCCAAAACGAGATAAAAGACCTGAGGAAGACAGAAACACACAGTCACAGACCCTTTAAGTTTGGTGATGGAAAAGTGGTCTATTCCAACAGAAAGTTGAAAATTCCTGCAAAGATTTGACAAACTAAGTGTCATATTGAAACTGAAGTTGTGCCAGCGAAGATTCCACTACTCTTGAGCAAGGCATCCATGAAAAGAGCAGGGACAGTGCTGGATATGGAGAATGACAGTGCGGTGATGTTCAGTCAACCTGTAAAACTTGACTTTACAAGCTCTGGTCATTACTGCGTAAACATTATGGACAATGAAAAGAGAAACATTCAAGGTGATGACTGTGTCTTGGTAGCTGTTGAAGATGTCTCGCTAACGGAACAAAAGAATGAGGATGTACAAAGTCAGTGTGATGAGGAAATACTGACAATCTCAGAAAAAATTAGCTCAGCAGAAAAACACAAAATCCTGATGAAGCTTCACAGACAATTTGGTCATGCTTCTGCTGATAGACTGCAGAGACTTCTTACCAGCTCAGGCAATAAAGATGCAGAATGTAGTGTCATTCTGGAAAAAATTGTGAGTGAATGTGAAACGTGTCAAAGATACAGTAAGACCAAACCAAAGCCTGCTGTTGGCCTACCACTGGCAACTCAGTACAATGAAACTGTTGCAGTAGATCTGCATGAACTTGAACCAGGTGTGTGGTATCTCCACATCATTGACCAGTTCACAAGGTTTAGTGCAGGCAGCATACTGACCACGAAAAGGTCTTCTGAAATAGTGAAACACTTTGTCCATGTCTGGATAAGTGTACATGGTCCACCTCAGAAACTGTTTAGTGACAATGGGGGAGAATTTAACAATGATGAGGTTAGAGACATGGCAGAAAACTTCAACATAGAAATAAAGACAACAGCAGCATACAGCCCGTGGAGCAATGGACTTATAGAGCGACACAACCAAACACTTACAGAGATCATAATGAAAGTGAAGACGAGTAACGGCTGTGACTGGGACACTGCATTGGACTGGGCTCTTATGGCAAAGAACACCATGCAAAATGTCCATGGCTACAGTTCTCATCAGTTGGTGTTTGGACAGAATCCCAACCTGCCCTCTGTTTTAACCGACAAGCCCCCAGCTTTAGAGGGCACCACGAAAAGTGAGTGGGTGGCAAAACACATCTCTGCTTTACATGCATCAAGAAAGGCGTTCACTGAAGCAGAATGCTCAGAAAGAATACGGAGAGCACTGCGTAAACAACTACGTAACACAGATGAAAAATATAAAATGGGTGACAAAGTGTACTACAAGAGAGTTGATTGTCCAAAGTGGAAAGGACCAGGAGTTGTCATTGGCCAGGATGGTGCAGTGGTGTTTGTCAGACATGGAGGAACCTGCATTAGGGTACACTACCTCAGACTAAGAAAAGTAAACACAGACAGCAGAGATCAACATGTCGATAAGGATGATGCTGAAATTGACACAAACAATGTGCATAGACAGGAGATGACAGGAGATGCTGTCAACAACACAGAGGGAACAGAAACTGTAAGCGAAATGCAGCAGAGTTCGGTGCAAATTGAGCACACAGGGGCATCCACTATGGAGCAGAATGTAGCAGCACAACACACAAGTGACGACATGGGGACACAAAGTGATACAGAGCAGGGAACTGATGTCCGTCTAAAAACAGGGCAAGTTCTAAAATACAGAGACAGAGACAGTGGGTCTTTGCACACAGCAAAAGTATTAGGACGTGCAGGCAAAGCTACTGGCAAATATAAAAACTGGTACAATCTTCTGCTCATAGAACCCACAAATGTTGCAGGCAGTAAAGATTCAGTTGACATATCATGTTTAGAGTGTCTTCAAATAGAACCTGCTGTTACTGATGTTAGTGTCACTAATGTTAGTGAGGACGTATTGGTAACAAAAGATCTATCCTTTGACCAAGCCAAACAAGATGAGATGAAGAGTTGGAGAGATAACAGTGTGTTTGAGGAAGTTCAGGATGAGGGACAAAAGTGCATCTCAACCAGATGGGTGTGCACTCTCAAGGAAACACTAACTGGACTAGTACCGAAAGCACGATTGGTGGCCAGAGGTTTTGAGGAGTTAAATGTGTTAGAGCTACAAAAGGATTCACCCACATGTGCTTCAGAGTCTCTTCGACTGCTGGTGGCAGTTATTTGTCAAAGACAGTGGACACTTCATTCCATGGATATAAAATCTGCATTTCTGCAGGGAATAGAACTGTCACGTGACATCTACATCAGGCCTCCCCCTGAGGCTAACTGTGAGGGAGCATTATGGAAGCTCAAAAAGTGTGTATATGGTTTGGCAGATGCTTCATTGTACTGGTACAATAGAGTGAAAGACATAGTACTGAAAGCAGGAGGAAAAATGTCCAAGGTTGATCCAGCTGTTTTTTATTGGCTAGATCAGGACTGCACTGTAACTGGGGTGCTTGCCTGTCATGTGGATGACTTCATATGGGGGGGCACGCAAAGTTTCTCCACAACTGTGATACCACACCTTCGATCTGTTTTTCAAGTTGGACGTGAGGAACATGATCACTTCTGTTATGTGGGAATAGATTTTGTGACTGTTGACGGAAAAGTACAAATTCACCAGGAAAACTACATTCAACACATGCAGCCCATACATTTGGATCCTTCACGAGCTGTGGAACAAGACTCATCTCTCTGTGAGGAGGAAAAGGATCAGCTCAGGTCCAAAATAGGCCAAATTCTCTGGGTGGCAAGGCAGAGCAGGCCAGATGTCATATTTGATGCTAGCAATTTGACATCAAACATAAAAAATGCAACTGTGCAGACAATCCATGAAGCAAACCGGATAGTGTGCAAACTTAAGTCCAAGAAGGTCATTCTAAACTTCCAACACTTGGGGGGAGACAGTGCTCTTAAGATAATTGTGTTCAGTGATGCTTCGTTTGGAAATCTTTCAGATGGAGGTACCCAAGGAGGGCACCTGATTCTTCTAATGGGAGAAAATGGAAAATTCTCACCTCTTTCATGGCAATCAAAGAGAGTCAAAAGGATTGTGCGGAGCACACTTGCTGGTGAAACATTGGCGATGTCTGATGGAATTGACAATTCTATCTTTCTGTCCACACTGTTCTCAGAACTAACTACTGGTGATGCTGAACATGCTCCACCAATAATCTGTGTCACAGACAATCATTCGCTTGCTGATGCACTTAAGTCCACAAAGTCAGTCTCTGAGAAAAGACTCCGCCTGGAGATAAGTAGTATCAAAGAACTTGTCCAAACACAGAGAGTTGAGCGAGTACTGTGGTACAACACAAAAGAACAACTTGCGGACTGCCTTACCAAGAAGGGGGCATCAGCTTGTCAGTTACTCAAAGCACTGAGTGAAGGACAATGGAAACTGAATTAAAACAGTCTGTCTTTGAGTTGTACTCGAGAGCTTGTTAAAATATACTAGGTTGTATTTTTGTTCAAGGAGGTTGTTGTTCAGTAGGCCTATGTCCTGTTAGTATACTGAATTGAAAGATTATTATTATTAAATTTTTTTTTTTTTTGAAGAGTGGGAGTTTGTTAAGTTTAAGACATGTTAAGTTTAAGACATTAAAAAAAAATGTGTTCATGCACATTATACCTCTGTGCTGAATATTGTTTAATATTTCACATGACGCTTTACCGGGAATAAAAATGGGACTCATATTATGAAGTTCCCGGAAGTGCGGTTGTTGTGGTTGTTCGAGCACGAACGGTGTGGTGTAACGTTTTGGTGTTGACGAATAAACGGATGATCGATTCTGAAGTGTATCTTTTTGTATAACAGTATGGATTACTTTTATGATGGATGGATGCAGATTATGTCTTTTTCAAGCTTCAAAATCAGGCTCTATTCACTCCCATTATAAAGCTTGAAAGAGCCAGGATATTTTTTTTTAAATATAACTCTGATTAAAGGCAGACGAACGAATGAGACGAATAAAGGCAATATCATCATCATTGTGTTTGGTTGAAAGAAGAAAGTCACACACACCTAAGGATGGCTTGAGGGTGAGTAAATTATGGGACAACTTTTGACTTTATTTTTGGGTGAACCAACCCTTTAAGTGAAAACCTTACATTGATTTCACACTTAAGTATATTATTTCTGCAATAAGTACTCTTTTTTTTTAAAAGCGTGCAATTTCAGTACTGTGTTGGTAACATAGCACAGCGATAATCATATGGTAATACCATGTATGACTGCACGATATATCGTTTTGGCATTGACATTGCGAAGTGCGCATCTACGATAGCCACATCGCAGGATGTGCTTAACCATCATAGAGTAAAAGTTCAAAGAGTGAGAGATTAAATCATTCAAGCGCAAGACATTGCTTAAAAGAACTCAATTCAGATCTTGCGCGCTGTTTTGCACAGTGCAGACAGCATGCAAACACCGAATTCAATTCTCTTTCTCATCTTTTTGTGCTTGAAGACGTACACGCAAAATGATGTCAAAAGGCAATAGGCCTCATAAACAAACACAGTCACTTGTGTCTTAAGTAGGTAGGAAAGAAAGAAAGAAAGAAAGAAAGAAAGAAAGAAAGAAAGAAAGAAAGAAAGAAAGAAAGAAAGAAAGAAAGAAAGAAAGAAAGAAAGAAAGAAAGAAAGAAAGAAAGAAAAAGGAATCATAATGGTATCGTTATATTGGATCTGCGCATTGTCTTAAAGTGACAGTAGCCTAATAAATCTAATGGCGTCTATGTCATTATGTTAATCAAACAACAAGAGACAAAAAAAAAGAAAAACAAATTCACATTTGTAGCTTTAACAAAGATTAATGCAGTGTTAATTCACATTTGATTATTTAACTTCAGTCCCTGAATACTGTTAGTCTTAAAAACAAAGCACAGTTTATTTCCTTTCTATCTTTGTTCTATAGTATTTATCGATGCATCTTGTAATTTGTTTATTTTTTATGCAGATTCACACCCCTTCAAAGTCACCCCAATCATTCTAGAATGATTAATTCGTTCCAAATAGAGCTATTCAAGTCATCTGGTGAATTTTCATATATATTTTTTCATATTACAATATATCGTAATGTTAGTTTTTTCAATATCGTGTTGCCCTAATAACATGGTAATTTGATAATATACTATGGTACTTAACACTTGACATTTATAAACATGGTTCTCCAAAGGACAAAGAATACTATGGTACTAGAGCATGAAAAATGCCACACAAGGATTTCGAATGAATATTTTTGAATGATGAAAACAAATTGGTGAACCGATTTATTGAGATTTATAGAAATGAATGGAACACTTTTGCTACTGAGGTGTAAGAAAACACACGAGTTATAAGCGGGCATGAGGCTTCTCTACTGAAGTAGTCTTTGGGAAACTTAAAGGCCAAATGAAAAGCACATGAAAATCATTACATGTATATTCACAACGGTGCTTCATTTCATACTGCCAAGAAAATAATATTCATCATAAATATCCAAAATATTGAAAATAATCAATATAGTGTATCCCTCAGCCTGTTCAAAAACACATTACTTTTTGGTAGTTTTCTATTTAAAGAAACAATCCTGTACAAAAAGGCCTGTGTGGATGTTTATGTGATGACTGACCTTTGGCCTCACACAGAAGGGTTGCTATGCTGTTTTGATAGGTTTGCGTCAGCCTTAACTCCACTAATGGCAGGAAGAAGCTCTCCAATGTGCTGTTGAGTGACTGCAGTAAAGCAAACCGCAATCGCAAACTCTCGACTGGAACACCTGTGTGATCAGAATTACATTCAATGTATATCCGGGCTAAAAACTTGGGGACTGTATAATCTGCAATTGCATGAAAACATCTCATAATCCAAACCTAACAGCATAACATAAATGGAGATGGACTTGCCTAACAAGCATGCGACTTGGGGATCAACGACATCCTTGGCGTCGATGTAAACTTCATGTGGATGTAGCCGGGCAGGTGTGATGGCCAGATGTCGGCAGAGACGGTTCACAAACTGGACCAATGCAAAGTCCATCTCGAAGGTCCATTTTCTACTGGCTTTTTGAGCATGACGGGAGTCGATGCATGTGCATCTAAAACAAGACGTTTTTTTTACTTTATAATGACACCACTAAGAACTTCAGAGAGTTACATTCATTGTTCTAGTCATTTTAAAAGACTATTCCAAAACTCCATCCGTTTATTCAGAAACTAGAACAAGTGAGACCTGCAGAAACATGTATGTATGTATGTAGTAGTATGGAAGCAGTTTTGAGGCGGGATTCCCAAAACAAAAATTTAGCTGTTTGTGAATGTAAAAGATCTGCAAACTTTCTAATATCAAAGTCCAAGACGAATGTCCTTGTCTCCCAAAAGAAAGAACCGATTCTGAACTGCTTGAAAGAGTCGTCAGTAGTTATAGTCTTACTTCCAGCATGAACCTACTTAGGTTTGTAACAAATTTGGACAATGCCAGCCTATGGTCTACATTGGCTGCCCGTGAACAAGGTCTACTTTGATTCACAGACAGCATTGTTACTGTTCGTATCACTGTCTATACAATAGACAGTGCTGAGGAAGCTCCAGAGCTGAAATTCAGATATGGTAATGGGCTTATCTTAAGAAATGACTTAACTTCTTTCTTAAGAAGATTATTGTGAATCTGGCCCATTTTCTATAAAAGAGAAGGTACAAACCTTTCAAAGTGCAGGTCATAACCGCATGCCAGGATTGCACGCCAAACACTGCGAATATCCTGCTTGGCTCTGTCTAGAGTAAACTTGTGGAAACCTTCCAGGGTCAAAAACTTCTCTTCTGGCACTACTGGGATAGAGGAAAGGGGAAATTTTAAGATACAAGAGAGATAATCATAGAGCTTATATTAAAGTTTACATTTATATTAAATGAAAATAGCTGATTTTTTTTTACCAACTTAAGTAGGACTTAAGTACATCTTTATATGATATTTTATAATTACCTCTGTTGTCTTTGAAATATGGTTAAAGTGAACTGCTGAATGTACTGGCAAACATTTATGGTAAATTAAAAAATACTTTAATGTTATTTCTATTGAAACTTGTATTACATATATATTTTTAATTACCAATGGTATAATGATGAAGTCGTAATTTAGCATATTTAAAATATATTAAGTTAAATAATATTGAATAACACGCAAAAGGAAAATTAAAATCAAGTACAGTACATGTGCTTTACATGTTCGTGATTATGTTAGTCAACACTTCAAAATAAGTGTACTTCTTTAAAGCATGACAAAAAATGATTAAAACAATGATTTAAAAGTGCACTTAAGTGTCTCTCTTTAAATACACTTAAGTGGCCTTTGATTTCATTAATATTATATTATCTACAAGTACAGTTTATTAAAAATATACTTTTAAGATTTGAAGCACACTACAAGTGCACAATCAATACAATTAAGTTCAGTTCGTTTTCCTAAGGTAACATGCATTTACTAGATGTATGTTCATTTGTACAGAAACAACCAAGAATGTTATAGTAGTAACCTTCAAGCTTTTTGGCAGGAGACTTTTCAGGGTCTTTTTCATCAGGCTTGGTCTTCTCTGGAGATTTTGGCTTGAGGACTGTTTTTTTCTCACTTAGCACAGTTCTGGAGAAACAACATTTACCATGTTGTGAGAACCATTAAGAAGTTTAATCATAACTTTATTATGCATTTTATGGTAAGGGATGCTTGCATTAGACAAAACATTTAACATTTTAAACAGTTTAAATAACTCCCCAATACTGTTTAGCTTTTAGTGGTTTACCAAGTTAGCCGAAACTGACTGGATGAGCCTAATGTTAGTACTCACCTAACACTGTTAAGCATGGACTTCTCTTTGGTCGGGGGTTTGGTGATGGGTCTTTTTGTGCTGACCACTTTGCCTTGGTGCTGCTCTTTGCCTGCCTTGCTGTGCTTGTTCTTGTTGGGCTTTACTGTGCCATATTTACGGAGAATCTGCAGACACAATTACCAAGGTTTTAATCATTTCTACTGTGGCCCAAGTCAAGAATTTGTCTGTTCAACTGTTTCCTAAAACGAATGTAATAGTATAACACAAAGGTGTGGATTACAAGTGCATGTAACATACTTTTTAATTATCAATAAATATGTTGTATGTGTTCATGCATCTTAAAATTAAAATTAAGAAAGTTAACAGTACCTATTTATGTAATACTATATGTGTAGATTAGATCTAGGTAAGTCAATTGGCTTTATGCACAGCTGCACTACTTCCTGAACTTCAGCCAGCTCCTTTGTTTCCTGTCTGCCATTATTGGACAAACTGATTAATCCAGGTGCCTGGCCTCAGTAACAATAATCAGGCACACCTGGATTAATCAGTTTGTCCAATAATGGCAGACAGGAAACAAAGGAGCAGGCTGAAGTTCAGGAAGTAGTGAAGCTGTGCATAAAGCCTATTTTCAGAAATCGTAATGACATTAATCAATTATTCAAATTGAGCAAAATGCATGTGGAAAGACTAACCATATGCATTTAGCGGACTTTATAATTATAATAAAAAATACTAAATATGTTCATGATAAATTAATAATTTAATATTATTAAATGAATGACTATTCTGAGGACATCACCTGTGTGAGCTGGTCATCAAGCACCTTCTTGGGAGGCCGTACGTGTGTAAAAAACACATGTAGCAGGTTGCCTGGTGTCTGAGAGTTGATCTGCTCTTTGCTGAGATAAATGTCCGATACTTTCACAGGTTTTGTTGGAATGGGGCTCAGAACCTGCTCTGCATATACGCAGCTCTTAAAGATGTCTGTTAGCACATCACGTGCCCCAGGAACCAGTTTATCTCCTACAAGCACAAAAACTAATAAAACATCTAACAAACTTGATACAGTTAAAGTAAAACCATTGCTTCATTGCAAAAAGAATCACAGAATGAGTCTAAAATAACACACAATTCTAAGATTAAGAAAGCAACCAACCTCTGATAGATTTATCAAGGAAGTACTCTTCAAGGGCAGAACTCCCTTGAGTGTCAAATAAACTCTGATTTACACTTGAGGCAGTGAGGATCTCCTCATTGGTCAGCTCCATTAGCTCCTCCTCCCTTTCAAGATTGGAAAGGCCAATGAGATCACTGCTGTTGAAAAGACTGGCCCGAATCTTCTCCACCTGGGCCCGTGCCCTTACCTGTATAGCAAAAACAGTAACATTATTGGATATCTAATTTCTTTTTAGAAAGGCTATAAGCAAGATTTAGCATAACATGGGAAATGAAGCATATCTCTGTCTTAAAAGTGGCCTCAGAATAGTAAGTGCACTAGAGTTGTCAAAAGTACCGACTTTGGAACTGAAATGTAAAAAATGTGACGATACCAACATTTGCCTCTAGCATTTTAAGCGCTGTTAAACGGATTCTCAAACACCTCTGATTGGCCATTGTGTTGACGCGCTCAACATATCATTGGCCATTGTGTTGACGCGCTCAACATATCATTGGCCATTGTGTTGACGCGCTCAACATATATGTCTCTGATTGGCCATTGTGTTGACGCGCTCAACATATATGTCTCTGATTGGCCATTGTGTTGACGCGCTCAACATATATGTCTCTGATTGGCCATTGTGTTGATTTTTAAATGTCAGTACCGACTTGGTACCGAAGTCACAGCCTTGGTACCGAAGTCGGTACTTTTTGACAACTCTAAAGTCACACAGTACACTGTGCAAATGGAACAGCCCATGAAATGAATTTGAAACATGAACTAATTTAACCCTAACTATGAACAATAGTAATAATGATGCTTGCAAGCAACACCCATGTTATCGTTGCTGGTGTTTTATAAGATCAAATGTCCCACCCACCTCTATGACAGCATAGCCTTTGATCCGTCGTGTCACACTGGCATGGATGTCTGGCGAGGCAACAGTGTACATGGAGCTCCCATCTGAGACTGACGTTGCACCACTATCCAGCTGCTCCCCAAGGCTGCCGAGACTACCTTGACTCCCTGTGCTACAAAGAGACACATCCAGACTCTCCTGACTGGACACCGTGTGGGGATCCAGGGGTGCTTGTGGCAGGGAAGGTGCTGTTTGAGAGGTCACCAACTCTTGGTTTACCAGCAGCTCCCCAGCAGCCCTGGAGGCTCCCTGTAAAGACGCCTGGCTCGCTGAAGCTGAGGCACTCAATGCTGGCGTTGTACTGTTGCTATTTGGGCTTCCTGCAGTGAAATCTCTCTTTGCATCTTGGGGAATACATGCTAGAGTTTCAGCTTTGGCTTTTTTAGGGTCTTCCTCCTGAACTGGAATAAAGATCTCGTCCTTGAAGAGACCACCGTGCGCATTGCAAGCCCTTCGGATTGCATTGCGAACCACGGATTCCTCCAAGTGAGTTGGGATTCCTGAGAGCACGAGCAATCGGCTGTGAGCAGTGGAGCCGACCAAGGCTTGGCAAGCATCTGCAACGGCATCTCCAGTGACGCCCAGACCTTGTGGGTCTTTGTTAGCAAGGTGGCGTAAAATCAAGAGTAATGTCAACCCACGGTGAAACCACAACATGTCTTCTGGCTTCCCTCCGGCCATGTTTAGTAAAGCATTATCACATTCTGACGGTCTTGCACCACTTCCGGAACCATGTTTCCCTGAGATGGCAGTTGCTGAAGCAACAGTGACTGCTGCCCGTTCTCGCTTTAGCTTCACTTTTTTGCGCTTCGAAAGCAAACTCGGACTTTGTGGCGTCTGGCCTGGGGAGGATGACGAAGAGGACGAGGAATCACTACAGTTGGCGGTGTTCGTAGACAAAGGGGCGCCTACTACCGACGTCCCTGCACCCGTACTGAGTGGCAGAGTCACTTCAGCGACTGCCAGGCACACCTCCATCAGAGCATGGAAGTACGTCGAGAAGCGGCTCCGCTCGGCAGAGAGCGCGATTGCTCCACCACTACCCGTTGCGGAAGTGCAGGAACCGCCGCTAACTAAACCCCAACTTTGGGTCTCATGGTCGTAAAGCTTTCGTAGTTCCGTTTGAAGAACCATAAGAACTGTTAGACAGGGGTTGAGAAGCAGTGTAATGTGGCTGGACAGGCCCGAAGGGGTCTTGCGCCGCTCAAAGGCATGGATCTTGCGGAGAAGCTCTGCAAGCAGGTGGAAGATCAGCTCCTTGATGCACGGAGCAAGATCAGTGGTCCACAAAAGGCCACCTAAACAAAGATAAAGCAAGTGTGACAAGGAATTGCATCAGCAGTTTTTTTTTTTTTTTTACATAAATAAACTGTATAGCTAGGACCCATTTCTCAATACTTAAGTCACTTTTTCAAAACTCTTCACACAGTTCTCCTAACCAGCTTTCAGGTTGGCACAGCAGTACATTTTACATTCAAAGTGTCTGTAATAGTATGTTTTCTGGGATCCTCGGAGCAAAATGAACATTTCTCACCCAGCAACTCCACAACCTGCATAAGCACAGAAGTGGGCACAGTGTCTAGCTCATCCTCAGAGCGGTCAATCGTTTCTCCTACGGTGTAGGTTAGCAGCTGTTCAGCAAAGGCCATAGCCAAGGGAAACTCAAGAGGCAACGAGTGCAATACCAGCACTGCACCAGGAGGGGGAGATACACCTGCTGACAGGACCAAAATATAAATTAAAGTCTGCATTAAAATGAAAATTCCCCCCTATTTTCTAAAAGTGTTTCTGATTGATCTCATCCCACGGTCACAATAGACGTCGATAGATTAGACTTCTACTTCACACTCTGAGGAGTGTAGAATAATAACTAGTGTGAAGAATGACTTTTTAAAAAATATTGAATATTTTGAAATTTTGAACATACTGTATTAAATCTATACCACTTTACTGCAACCCTGCAGATTTAAAGTTTGCGTTCTTTTAATTTAGCTAAGAGGTCACGCAAGTCAGAGTTCACCAAACTTGAACTTTGGAATGCAGCGAAATTTGCATGAGCTTGGATTTGCATGCATAATGACGTCAAAGGAATTTAAAGTGTAGTGTAACCGCTCCTTTATTGTGAACAATTAATTTGTGTATGTTTCAGTTAAAAAAAAAAAATGTTGAGCTAGTAAAATATCAAAATGTCATAACTCTTCAGTGAAACGTACAAACTTCTCTCTGGTGATGCAAACCAATTGCAAAGATCATATAAATACAGAATATATAATTGATTATAATGTGTTTTCCAGGTATGTGGTATATAGCATCCCTTGTGAAAAATGAAATACTTTGCATGCTTTTCAAAAAGAGTACTTATTACGGAAATTATATACTTCAAAAGAATATACTTAAGTGTGCACTGAATGTTTTTTTTTTTTTTTTTGACAGTTAACTGCAGGTTAACTGCAATAAAATGAAAATGTATTTTAGTTCAAATTTATATTCAACTATAGACTGAATTTTGACCCACTTAAGTAGGACTAAAGTACTTCTTTATATGTCATTTCAGAATTACTTCTATTGTCTTTGAAATATGGTTAAAATATACTGCTAAATTTACTTTAAAGTATATTTTAGTTTACCATAAAATCTTAATGCCATTTCTATTGAAACTTTTATGATATGCATTTAAATATATTTGTAATTACCCATTTGTAATGATGAAGTTGCAATTTACTAAAAATATATTCATGTTAAATGTAATATTGAACGATAATACAGTTAAAATTATAATAAAGTACTTTACATGTGCTTTAGTATGTTAGTCAACACATCAAAATAAGTGTACTTCTTTAAAGGATGATTTAAAATTGACTTTAATGTTAAACTTTTAAAATGAAATGCCCTTTATAAAAGTGTACTTAGGTTAAGAGTTAAGATACACTACAAGTGCACTTTAATACACTTAAGTATACATTTTTTTCACAAGGAATACCCTAGATGCTGATTTAAGTGGCCTCTTTGCTTACTTTTGTACATTAGCAAAGACATTTTTATGTTTATTGAACGTACTGAGTACAACCTTATGAGTAGCTGAAATCTGAAAATGTACAGTATGTAGAATGTAACACGTTTATGACATGCCTAGTTTGACATGCACTTTGTCAGTGGGGATGATGATGTTGGGATACTGGTTGGCTGTGGGTGGAGGGGTGAGTCCTGTGTTAGACGGGGAGGCGTCTAGCGGGTAGCACACTGCTTCCATCAGATTCAGCTGGCCGTTTCGTCGCACCTTGTGACCAAGTCCGTACACCATTACACGAGTCCAAGGGGCTTTGTATAGAGAGGAACTAAGACACAAATACACACATGAGCATATAGAATATTTAACAGAAAACTGAGATTTTACTTGATCTTTTGAAAATAAGTAGTTTTAGACTTTTACTATGCAAAGCTCCCTGCTTAGTGCAACAAGACTAATGGAAGTAACTTAGAGTTTAGTAGGTAATTCAGAAATAATATTATAACTAGCTAATATTATGAATCAATATGAACTCACTCTTTGCGGCAGCTGACTTGGCTCTCTTTGCAAGAGACGAGCACAAAGGCAGCACCGGGGAAGTTCACATCCATGCTGACCTTGGACTCAGTGATGGGAAACTCTTCCAGTGTAAACTGTTCAGGTGCACTCTGAATTTTCAGCAAACATTAAAGAATGTTACTAAAATTGTAACAACCAATAATAATTTAACATGTTTGACTACACTTTATTTTACAGAATGTGTACTTAGAGTGTACTTACCCAAGAAAGTACTGGGTAATATAAGGTAACTACATGGATTATAGATAGTTTGGTAACGCTTCCTTTTACAGTACAGTACTTACGTGTACTTAAAGTGTACTTACCTAGAAAGTACTGGCTAATATAAGGTAAGTACATGGGTTAGGAGTAGGTTTAGGGGTAGGTTCAGGGTTAGTACCTAGTTATTACCCAGTTATTGCAATTAATATAATAAGTAGTACATAGTATGTACATGGGGAATAGGAATGTATAATAAAGTGCAATGTTTCTTAACACACATAAGTACACTTCTAAGTCCACTTTGTAATAATGTCAAATTAAAAGGTTAACACTTTATTTTAAGGTGTCCTTGTTACAGTGTTAGGGTTAGTTGCATGTAATTATGCTTAATTTACTGTTATTTCTACAGTAAGTACATATGTAAAATAAGGACACTGTAAAATAAAGTGTTACCATTAAAAGTTTAACGTAAAAAGTACATTTATTCCTATAGCGCTTTATCGTTTCAAAGTAGATTCACAGTAATAAAAAGGAAAATAACCAAATGTTGTAAAATTCATAAATTATGAAAATTTTAATTGTATTATTTTTGTCTATACATTTTTTTGTATTTTTTATTTCAGTTTTGGTGTGAGTTATTTTAGTGCATTAAGGTAAACTAAATGTTATTTTGGTTCAGATAACGTTTTTTTTTTTCACGTAACAAAAATGTATTTAATGATTTTAGTTTTAACTGTAATAACCCTGGTTCAAAAACGGTGTCGATGTTGAAAAGTTAGTGTCATTATCTTATATATATATATATATTTTTTTTTTTATTGAAAACAATCAACCCACATATTCACATAACAGAGCCAACAACACGACAGCACAACATGTATACAGACATACATTTTCTTTTCTTTATACGATGAAAAAGCACAAAGTAAAAAAAAAATATATATATATATAAATGATAAAGAGAAGGAATAACATCAGTAGATCATAGGCAAAACCTGACGACAGCATCAATTCGTCCAGTTACAGTTATAATTGTTTTTGGAGATATGTTATAAAAGGACACCACATGACAGTGACCTTAGGATTATCTTATATATTTAAGTACATTTTAAATCATTATATTTTAAAAATGGTCAATAACTAATATTAATTTGAATATTGGATACATTTAAATATCACAGATCATAATGGTGGATGTGCAGTGAATAATGTAATTAGCTGCCTGATTCAAAATGCATTCAGTAATGTTCTAAATATCTAAATTATAGATGTCTTTCTGATCACAAAAAAGAAAATAGTATTAAGAGTAAAATATAGTCATTTTCCCTTTAGAAAAGTAAAAGTTCTATTTTTGTTGCAGAATGTTGTTGTTCTCTTATTTATCTCTACTTTCTGCCTATCACTTTTATCGTATACAAATCATGGTTTTCAGAATACTACACTGCTATACTGATATAATGGGCACAAATAAGTTGAGGCACTAATACCTGAAGGAAACAGCAGATCTGTTTAGTGAGTTCGAGAAGGCTGTCTTCGCCCTGGTGCAGAGCTCTGCTGATGGCCACCGTCAGCCATTCACTGATGGTCTGTGCGTTTCCCTGATAGAAGAGCTCAGTCGGAGAACAGCTCTTGCCCTGGAGCTCGTGGAGAACAGACTGAGCCAGCAGAATAGAGTTAGAACTGATTCTGCCATCTACAGAAGCCAAAGGGAAATGAACAAATACACAAGAGTTTAATGAAAAATGTTTTCCTATATATTAGGTAACACTTTACAATAAGGTTGCATTAGTTAACATGAGCTAACAATGAAAAATACTTCTAAAGCATTTATTAATCTTAGTCATGTTAATTATAAATAATGGTAATTTCAATATTTACGAATACATTATTAAAATCAAAACTTGTATTTATTAATATTATTTAATAGACCTGAGGTGACATGAACTAGCAATGAACAGTTGTATTTTTATTCACTTTTGTTTAAAAAGATTATTATATACAGACCAAATGTATTGTTCATTGTTAGTTAAATATACGGGACATTATTGTAAAGTGTTCCCATGTATTAAAATATAAAATTGGAATTTGGACTAAACAAGTAACATAAGTTGTCAAGTGTTAGGGAAAGTTACTTTTAAAAGTAATGTGTTACAATATTGCCTAGAAAAGATAAATATATTACTTAGTTACTTTTTATGAAAAGTAATGCGTTACGTTACTTTTGCATTACTTTTTCCTCACCTGGCTGAGACTTGATCTCTTCCAGGCCTTGCAGGTGTTTTTTTTTTTTTTTTTTTACTGAGAATTTATTTTTTGCAAGTGTTTAACGCAATAATACATTCAACAACATAGCCTATATAACATACACCTTCATTTTCTTTTAAAAACAAATTTACATTATTATTATGTATATTCTGAGCACTTAGAATATTTCCTGACCCCAAGAGCTATGAATGCCATACAAAAGATTGCTTAGCCGATAACCGCAATATTGTAGTACTGACAAATCAACCGCAGAGGAATGCAAAGAAAACGCAGCAACCGCGATATTCACGTGTTTTCTTTTTTCATAAGGCTATACCCTTCTTGTTTTGAACTTCGTGCAAGTGTGTTGAATGTTAAATGAGTTAATAATGATAAACAGACTGTTTATCATGGTGATTTGTACAGAGGCTTCGTGGATTTTGACCTTAAGCTTAAACAGACAGTGAATGAGAGAGATCGACTGAGCGTGTGCGATTACCTGCGTCTGTCTTTGAGGTCAAGTCATATATTCGTGAAAAGGTTGCCGTGTCCAAGGAAAGCGAAATATTTGTCGTATCATCCTTTTAATGTTTAAGGGTATTTACCATGAATGGCGTCAGCGGCAGCGCTGGTCAATGTATTGAATCAATGCCATTGGTCTATATTAAGTGAAGCATCAGCTTCAGCATTACCAAAGTCCTTTTAGGCAAGTCATGCCACTCGGCTGCCATCTTGGCAACGCCTCCGGGCAGCTATTTCGGACTAACAAGACCAGGCTCCTATCTAAATGAATGGGCAGAGAGTCAGAACTGCAGTTTCACTGGTCACCGGGACATAAAAACTGCATGTATAGAAACAGCAGTAAATTATGATAAAAATCGCTGAAAAAGTTTGATGACTTTGCCCCAAAATAAGGTTTAAAAGGCCTTTTTCCCCACAGGTTATACTTTTACTACGCATGCGCAAGGGTTCTCTCCCTCGGTCGTGCGCGCGCTACACAGTTTGAAGCACAGTAACTGTTATGTGCGAGCTCTTGCTCGCTCGCTCTAGATTCCGGGAGATTTGAACTAACTTGCGGGCATCAGGGAGCCGCTATCAATCTGCGGGAGACTTCTGATGTCTGATATTACACAAGTAACACATACACTGCATATCAAATCTGCCGCCTTTTCAAACAGTAACGTATTTTGCGCTGTCGCAAACCTCAACTGTGCGCATGCGTCAGTGGAACCAGACGATAGGCTTAAATGTTTCCCGGCTTGACTGTTAAAAGCAGACGATTGGCTTTCCAGCGGGAGGGCGGGACATGTGCATACAACCGCCATCTTTGGCGTTACGGGTTTTCCCTATATAGTTGTATTAAGGATTGATGAAGTGGCATGTCTCTATATAAATAGTCTCTGGCGTTACCCATGCGACGCATTGCTGGTCAGCTGAGCCTTGAAAAGTGGAGCTCAAAGTTAAAAATAATTAACACCTTGTTTCATTACATCTATCTTTTAATGACTCAGCGTTTTTGAACGTGTTCGTTGAATGAACGGTTTAATGACTCACTCAAAGACAGTCCATTGCCGTAACAATGTAACTGCGCGGTGAGTGACAGCCTTTCAATGCTCAGACATTGGTTACATTTTTGTGCATGCTGACCACATCGTAACACTTATTTATATAGCAACAAATAAATATAAAAAAAATCCAAATAAATAAATGGCGCTAATACAGCATATTATCGCGGGTATTGAGCCACTCTTAATTACCGCAAGGGAAATTCCTTCACCGCGCCAGCCCTATTACCTACTGTACAACAGTTTTTATTGAAAGCTGAAAGTAATGTTTTTAAGTAATCCGTGCTTTTTTACTTTTTGTCTGTTCTCGCAACTACGTTATGGAGAAGAGAGTGAATTGTAATTCAGTAGTGTATAAAAACTGAAAAGTAATGTGCTTTTTTTTATAGATATAACTTAAAGGGATAGTTTACCCAAAAATTCTGTCAGTAATTACTCACCCTCATGTCGTTCCAAACCCGTAAGACTTTCGAATAACACGAATTAAGATATTTTAGATGAAATCTGAGAGCTGTCTCACTCCTTCATAGGCTACTAGGTAATTGCATCTGCCAGCCCAGAAAAGTTAGTAAAGACAAAACTATCCCTTTAAAATAATGCATTACTGTACTCATTAAATAAAAAAGTAATCTGATTACATAAGGCACATTACTTGTAATGCGTTACCCCTGACACTGTAAGTAGTTACTTATGCAAGTTCAAATCTAAACCTGTGTTCCTCAAAATATTTGTATGACATCACCTGGCAGAGGTGGAGCCAGCAGCTGATTGGACAAGAGCTGCAGGTGCTCAAGTGTGATGTCTCGTACAGCGGGAATGTGGAAGAGACGTGTGAACGTGTGAGGGCTCTTGGGAGCAAAGATGTTGAGCAATGCCATGCGGCAGTACAGACGCGCGAGAGCACTTTCACAACGCAGCAGCTCCCTGAAACACACAAGCACAGAGTACTGAACAGTAAGCTTTAGCGTTGCCTTTAAAAGGTGAACTCTTTTAGTAAAACTCCGACATTTTTTAATCTACAATAGGAAAACTGTCTTGAAAAAATGCATTACCGATGAATTTGGATGTTGCTGCTGTCCAGAGACACCAAGCCATTTGCTGCAGCCCTGCGGGACCCTGCTGGCGGCCTCTCTAGCATCTCAATTGGGTACCAGTACCGGACTAACACACCCTCGCTACGGAGATATGTCTCCACCTGGACCAGTTCATTGGCCTGAAAACACACAAACGAAAACATTTCAGCGAAGTTTGAGATTTGTTGCATTTTGAAACAAGTGCATTTAGAATGAATATCAAAATCCTGTCAAAGCCTGTCAAAAATGGGCTATTTTAATTTTACGAACAAAATAATGCAATGCGGGACAAATATTTACATTTATATGTTTAAAATGTGAAGTATTTCACATTATTATCCCTCAATCATGAGAGTATTATGCTGCTTTATGCTGATTTCATTAGGGAATTATTTTTTTCTTGGATCCGGATGATTCTCCTTACGTCATAAAATTTATCAAAGTCAAAATGGGCAAAGTAATAAATATAAATAAAATATGTAAAAAATTAAGTAGAATACATCAAGGTGCATAGAGTCAATTGTCATGAACATGCAACAATTATTTAAATAAGGCTTAATTTTCTTTATGCAAAAAAAAAAAAAAAAAAAAAATTCCACATGAAATGTGGCTTTTTTTGTGCTTTTTTGCTGATTTTGATCCCTTTAAACAGTGATTTCAAACTGAAATTTGACTAACGTGGATACTCACAGAGTCTACATCGAGCACGACACCATGCAAGCCAAAAGTCTTCAACATGCCCCGGATGGCAAACTTTGGTAAGGCTGTTCCACCTGTGCTGCTACAGGTGTTGTTTCCCTCTGGGCAGCGGATGCCCACTGTTAAACCTGTGGGGAAAATGGTTACATGTTTAACCTGTTATTGTAATAATAAAATAGTACTCATCGGTGCAGTCTCATAAATGCAATTCTGACTGGTGCAATTATAAAATTCAGTATATATGCATGTGTATATAGAACCAATGTGTGATCTCCACAATAGACCAAACAAAAGTAAGTGCATGGATCCTAGGACAAATATTCATGTTAACGTGCGCTTTCACACAGACCTTTGCGGACTTTGTCAATGGTGAACTTATTAGCTTCATCTTTGATGTCCTCGATGGTTGGAAGGTAGAGGTCACGAGGAATACCTCCATTCTCTTCATACAGGAACTCAACAGTCTGACGTGCAATGTCCACCATTCCTGCCAGGAATAACCGCATTATTTATACTAAACTCATGGAGAAAAACTGGTGAAAAAGAAGTGCACATAATTGTATTGAATATGCAATTGCAGTGTACTTTAAATTTTAAAAGCATAAATAAATATCTAGTTCAGTCATAAAGAGGGCGCAGGCTGATAGGTCCTTTACATGCACCTCCAAGCAATCACATCATCACCGCATGGCACAAGCTGATTGGTCTCTGTTGATCCTGCAGCCAATGAGATTGCTTGCTCAAGGTTGCAAGCAATCTCATTGGCTGCTACAGTGATTAAACTTCTGAGGTGACGAGTTTTTTGCACACAAAAATAAGACTTTATTCAACAACTTATTCAACTTTATTCTCTTCCGTGTCAGTCTCTGACGCTGTTGTCATTTTTATTTTATTTTATAATTTTTTTGCACACAAAAAGTATTCACGTCGCTTCATAACATTAAGGCTGAACCACTGTAGGCACATGGACTATTTTAACGATGCCTTTACTACCTTTCTGGGCCTTGAAAGTGGTAATAATGTTGCAGTCTATAGGGGGGTCAAAAAGCTCTCAGATTTCAACAAAAATATCTTAATTTGTATTTCGAAGATGAAGGAAGTTATTAAAGGTTTGAAATGACATGAGGGTGAGTAATTAATTACAGGATTTTCATTTTTGGGTAAACTAACCCTTTAAACTATAAAACATCTTCATTCAATTGCAATTAATATGCTATTAGTGTCCAAAAACATAAAATTTCTGTAATAAGTACTATTTTTAAAAAGTATGCTAAAGTTACTTCTTTTTCACGAGGAAATGTCTACCCAGCTGGAGGCTGAGAGGGACTCATTGTAAATAGCCATTGTAAATAAATAAAAGAGACATTCACCGAGCTGAAGTGCTCCTTTGATCTGATCCAGACCAGACTTCCTCTCTGCTTCATTCCTGAAACGACGCCGAATGGTTGGAAAAACTTTGGTTTCCCACGCTTTCACTAGCAAGGCGTAGTGATCCTCCTTTACAAAGAGACGGCGAGAGAAAAACATACAAGATTTCTTTGAAAAGGCACTTTGCTTACACTATATTAGGGGTGTAACTTTCAAATTGCTTTAGAGAAAATGAAGGGCCTAGTTATGAGCTCTCCATACCCTAGGAATGTCTTCATCATCTTCATCATCACTCTCATCATCAGCAATTAGTGGCGGGTGGGCGTTTGGCCCTGAGACGACCAGATTCTCATAGCTCAGTTCTACCTTGTAGTGACAAGAGGCATCACTATTGTATTCTGTAAATAAAATCAGACCACAAGAACCAAAGTTTAACCCACATGAAGCTGATATTCGTTACTGATTCAGTCAGATAGCAAGTTTTACTTAGAAGAGGGAGAGACAACATTCAAAAGCAATCTAACCTCATGTACAGTACATACAACTTTTCGAGCTGAAAGTATTAATATTAGTTAATGTTTAAGTCGACACTCACGTTGCTGTGCTGTGACGACCGCAGCAATGCGACACGGAGGACCATGAGAACCAGAATCAGACGCCACACTAGTGCCGGCATCATTGTCGCTGTCAGAGGCCATGGCAAAAGGCAGAGCCTCAAAGTTGGCACTGATCTCCTCTGAGAGGTCCATGCAAAGGTCAGCAGCGTTTCGGTGAGCCTGTCCCTCTGCGTACGCAAACAACCGGCAGCCAAAGTTTGCGTGGATCTTTGTATTCTGAAATTACACAATGAGGAATCATCATTAAAAAATGAAATTATTTATAAAACAGGGCTAAAGGACAAATAAGGAAACCAGTTTAGAATAAAAAGACATTTATAACTAACAACTACATAAGCAAGATAAGTCTCCTCAAAGAAGTTTTCGGATGCTTAAACCATACGTAAATATGTATTTCACTGAATATAACAAAACCAAGGAAAATAATTATGATTCATGACAATTATAATCACTTTTAGCTTAACGAATGTTTATGAATGTTTGTAACGAATGTTTATGTTATGCTGTCGTCCCCTCCTTGAACTATCACCTTATCGTGGTGGAGGGGTTTGAGTACCCGAATGATCCTAGGAGCAATGTTGTCCGGGGGCTATATGCCCCTGGTAGGGTCTCCCAAGGCAAACGGGTCCCAGGTGACGGGTCAGACTAAGAGAGGTTCAGAACCCCATTATGAAAAAAAATCAAGGACCGAAACGTCATCCGGCATGGCGCAGCTGGGGCCCCACCCTGGAGCCAGGCCCGGGGTTGGGGCTTGCATGCGAACGGCTGGTGGCCGGGCCTCCCCCCATGGGGCCCGGCTGGGCTCAGCCCGAACAAGTGACGTGGGGCCGCCCTCCCGTGGGCTCACCACCTAAAGGAGGGATCGTAAGGCCCCGGTGCATAGTGGATCGGGCGGCAGTCGAAGGCGAGGGCCCTGACCTCTGGACATGGAAACTGGCTTTAGGGATGTGGATAGTAGGGCTGGGCGATATATCGATATAAAAAATATATCGATATATTTTTAAATTTGATATGGAAATAGACCATATCGTATATATCGATATAGTTCAAATATGCGCTGTGATCCTTGCTCCAAGCAAGCTGCTGACCCTGAGCTCTCTGCACTGCTCCCCGCGCGTGAAAGCCATCGACAACCCGAAACGGTGTTTCCGCTACATTCATTCTGCCGTGGTGGTCCGCCACACCAAAAATCATCCCGCCACGGCTGCAGCTTCTCAGTGAAGTCCGATATTGTGCACACTATTGTGTTATTGTTAAGCCCCACTAAAGGCATAAAAAATATTGTAAAGCACCATAAAGTTTTCGTGCACTATATTCCAAGACTTCTAAAGTCATTTGATTGCATAATGTGAGGTAAAAATGAATATTTAAGTCGTTAAGTTAAAGTTAATGGAAACTCATCTCTCCTCAGTTATTCTCCATTCAGCATTCAAACAGCGCGTCGCGTTCGTAACACGACGACACTCTCTTCAAGATAAATGTTCCCACTATTAAACTTTATTTGTAGATAAAGGTCTATAGTTTGCATAAAATGACTATCTTGCTGGAGTTTACAGCGCTTTCTAAATCATATTCGGTAACGCTTCCTTTTACAGTACTTACGTGTACTTACAGTGTACTTACCTAGAAAGTACTGGCTAATATAAGGTAAGTACGTGGGTTAGGGGTAGGTTTAGGGGTAGGTTCAGGGTTAGTGCCTAGTTATTACCCAGTAACAACAACGTATTGAGTTTAAGGCGCTGTTGTTTGTTTATAAGGGATTGCATGGACTAGGTCCTTCATACATCTCGGATCTCCTTTCAACTCATCATAATGCTGTTAGAAATCTCAGGTCATCCAGTAGTCTACAGTTGACTGTTCCGAGGACTCGTTTAAAATTAAAAGGAGATCGGGCCTTTTCAGTGGCCGCCCCACAGCTTTGGAACAATCTGCCATTACACATAAAGTCTGCACCTACATACACTGATTTTAAATCATTGCTTAAAACTCATTTATTTATTGCTGCTTACGGTCATAAGCGGCTGTAGTGGTATTGCATTGTTTTGTGCTTTGTGTATTGTTTATTTGTTGTTCTATGTCTTATGGATACCTGTTTATACATTGTACAGCACTTTGGCCAACAGCTGTTGTTTTTAAATGTGCTTTATAAATAAACATGACTGACTGACTGAGTAATTGTAATTACTATAATAAGTACATAGTATGTACATGGGTAACAGGACTGTAAAAGGAAGCGTTACCTCATATTCCTTTCTCCGGGGTGTCTGTTAGATTTAGCACTGGAGTAGAGAGCACTATTAATAGTTCTTCATGCGCACTGTAACTGAAATTTAAAACTGTTAAAAGAAAAGGCTCAATAAACTGTTGATTAGATATAATACACTAAGCATCAAATATCTCTTCGCTTTGTGCTTAAACTTTTAAATGTGACGCGCTGCACGCTGTGACTTCACGTTGCTTCAAGTGCATCATTTTGCGCACGGGATACGCATAATCGCTTTGCCGCTCTAAATTGGAGGCTTTCATATTATAATACTTAGGCAAGGTTTAAACACCTGGGGCAAGGGGGCGTGGCCCATGGGAATATCACTGCCACCACAGCTGGAAAAAATCCTAGAGGAAACACTGCGAAAAAGCTCCAGCCCCGAAACAAAGCTCACTGCAAACTTCATTTTCCCGCAGCCACCTTATGGAGCTTTGATTTTTAAAAAAAGCTACTCCTGTTGTTATACAGTATTTACGTTTACATTTTATTGTTATTTGAACAGCTGAGCATTTAATTATGAACCAGGTGAAGAAACCTGTTTCTTATTTATTCATTTGATTTTGCACCTGTTCATTGAAATAGCCAGTTTCAATAAAACTAGGCTACTTGTAACGTCATATTTGGCTTTGACTGAACATTTGCTCTCACTTTGCGGAAAAAATATCGAGATATATATCGTATATCGATATTCAGCCTAAATATATCGGGATATGACTTTTGGTCAGTGGCGGTTCTAGCCCATTTCAACTGGGGGGGCCAAGCTGGGGCCAGTTGTACTGTTAGAGGGGCCAGTTACATTTAGACCTTATTGTTGTCATATCATTTTCTGCACTGCTGCAGGCATTAACAGGCAAAATACCGTAATCATTCAACAATGTATTTGCATTTCCATTATATTTTTACATTTGCATTACATATTCCGTATTAGTCACAGTAACTGTAATAGACATGATGTCCTTCTTTCTCTTCATTTTGAGAACTATAGAGCAAAAGCAATGGGGACCAAGAAGCTTATTAATTCATTTACTGAAAATAACTGACTTGATATGTCTAACCGTTTACAGGGTTCCTGCACACTTTTTAAAGTCAAATGTAAGGCTTTTTAAGACCTAAAGAAATCAAAATTAATACCGTACATTAGGGGTGTGCAATATTGACAAAAATATATTTCAATATTTTCAACATTTTGTTAATAATTAGATAATATTTTACTGATTGTGTTTTTGTGCTGGTGCCATGGCTGGTTTAGGTCTGTTGTTGACAGCTGACTCACGAAGATATTAATATTTTTCATATTCTATGCAGTGGTCAGTTCACAGCAGTGACAGAAATACATTTTTTTAATTAAGGGGCAATATTTGCCACCTTAAATTGATTTCCAGGGGCATTTTCACCTATATATGGACATTTTTTCTAAACTTATTTAGAGTTATGCATCACCTTTTATGTCAAATACTAACATTCAAATTATACAGTAATTATACTTATTTATACAATAATACTTAATTATGCAATAATTATACAGTACCACTGTTACCAGTCAAATTAATTAATTCAATCAAAATCCATCTTTGCAGTGCAGAGGTGACACAGAAGTGGCATTAATATATATTTACACTCCATTTACAATTGCATAAATAAAGCTATGAGATTTTTTTTAAATCAATATTTAAATATGAAATTATTTCTAATTTTAACGTTTTAATTAAAGGATACTTTAAATATGAAACTAAAACCGCCAGTAGGCGGCGGCAAGTCCCTGTAAGAGGGATTCATTCATTCAAACGATTTGTTCAAACAGCTGATTCATTCGGGAAAGAACAAGTGATTCGTTCAAAACGCGGATTTCAGTCAATAAATCATCGCTGTGTTGCATTGAGACTCTGCTACGGTTTCATTATGAAATTCTAGTCGGCGAAATAAAGGGAAAACAAACAATATTGACAATATTGTGTCTGAAAAGTAACTCCCAATGTTAACTTATTGTTAATTTAACTGTTGTATAACATAAATATTACAGTTGCAATTGTGCACGGGAAAACGGCACTCTTGCTGATGTGATATTCTAATATAAGAACATAATATGATATAAATATAAGACAAAAACTAATTTGGGGACATAGCCTATATGACCTGCACACAGCAGTGAAAGGACGATAGACAAATGCTATGTCAGCTCACAGTGCCTCGTAGGCTACATAGTTAAAACAATGATTACAATATCAATACACATCGCACACCCCATACGCACATAAAGAATGAACTTACAACTGAACTGACATTTACCAGCTTTCTCCTTCTCTCCTCTCTCGCGTGCAGGAGACAGGCGTTATTCTGCCGCGATTCCCGCGAATGTGATGCGAATTGTCACGTGAAAATGCAAATCCACAAAGATAGAAAAATAAAAAATAATACGCATACAACGATAGCAAAAAACAGTTTTGTAAAAATTATTTCAAACTCCACATTTAGGGGGGCCACAAGGGGGGCCAAGCTTTTTGTCACAGGGGCACGGGCCCCCCTGGCCCCCCCTCTAGAACCGCCACTGCTTTTGGTCCATATCGCCCAGCCCTAGTGGATAGTCACCTCGCTGGCGGGGAAGGAGCCTAAGCTTGTGCGGGAGTTTGAGAGGTAACGACTAGAGAAAGTCGGGCTCACCTCCACGCACAGCTTGGGCTCTGGAACCACACTCCTTGAGAGAGGCTGGACTCTCTACCACTCTGGATTTGCCCATGGTTTGCTTATAGCCCCCCAGCTCAGCCGCCATGTGTTGGAGTTCACCCCGTTAAACGAGAGGGTCGCTTCCTTGCGCCTTCGGGTCGGGGATAGGTCTCTCACTGTCGTGTGTGCCTACGGGCCGAACAGCAGTCCAGAGTACCCGACCCTCTTGGAGTCTCTGGGAGGGGTGCTGGAAAGTGCTCCGTGGTCGGCGACAGGAGGGGCGTGATTGGGAGGAACGCCCCCCGATCTGAACCCGAGTGGTGTTCTGTTATTGGCCACAACGAACACAATGTTCAAGCATAAGGGTGTCCATCAGTGCACGTGGCACCAGGACACCCTAGACCGGAGATCGGTGATCGACTTTGTGGTCGTTTCATCTGACCTCCGGCTGTATGTCTTGGACACGCGGGTGAAGAGAGGGGCGGAGCTGTCAACTGATCACCACCTGGTGGTGAGTTGGATCCGATGGCGGGGGAGGAAGCTGGACAGACTCGGCAGGCCCAAACGTGCTGTGAGGGTCTGTTGGGAACGTTTGGCCGAGTCCCTTGTCAGAGATCTTCAACTCCCACCTCTGGCGGAGCTCACTGCATGAAAAGTGGGATTTTCATCAGTAAGCGTCACTTTAGATTGTCGTGGAAGTTCAGGTTTACGACAGTACACGGCAATTTACAGGCAACACTGAAAACTGCCGTGAATTGTCGGAAATTGACGTGGGCCTTGCTTGGCAGTTGTCCCCCCATGACCCCCCTCCTCCTAATTCTAGGGGAGGCTTTAACATGTAAATGAAAAAGCTGTGAGCTATACAAATGCAAATGAGGGTAGCAAGGGGAGTTTTACACCAGGTGACATTTTTCTAAAATGTACGGTATTAACTTCATTCTAAGAAAATCTCTGGTGTAAATAGATCAGGCTCAGTATAGCCTAATTATAGACACTTAAATTTTAGCTTGAAATTGATATATTTAATGAAAGTATTAGGGCTGTAATCGACCAAATAATATCTTGGTCGACTGGTAGACTAAAAATGAATTTAGGAAAAAACAAAACGTTAAGTGAATTAGCTGCGCACCTTGTTGTCCGCCTAAATGAATTATAAATAAACACACGAGTCTGACGGCTCGGACAGCGTTGCATCACGTGCACCTGCGCAATATCATAGCCTATGATTTCCGAAAATAGTACTGTTGTCAACTAGTGATATCATCACAAGAACTGTTGAGGAATATGGAACATAATAGACAATTTTTTTGTCATATGTGTATTATAATAACTGACAGATATTATCAGTGCAAGCCGCTCTGTGCAGCTGAACACAGGAGCTCAGCTTCGCGGCTGAGACACGAATAGACTATTAACTTTTTTTAAATGCTGCCACACTGCCGATTTCTTTGTTGACATGGTAGAAGAGGACTGGCTATGAATTAAACGCTCTACAATTAAATAAATAATAATCAGCAAACCTTCTAGTAGCCTACTTTCTTCAGTTTGTCTCGGGCTAATCCAAAAGAAGGGAAAACAAGAGGGTGTTCTGAAGACAGACTGTTACCTGTGAAACAGGGGTGCTCTGAAAACACCCCCATTTCAATTAGTCCTTTCCACCTGATGACATGGACGCAGCTGAAACTGTTTAATGCTATCAGTGGACTGTCTCGTCAGCTTAACATACTCAGTTTGCTGACGATGTAAATGAGCAGTTTACTTTAGTAAATTGTAGGTTGCTTTGGAATCGAAAAACTCAGTGGAAGAAAGACTCTAGGAAGAGAAGACGGGTGCACAATCCTAAGATTGCGGTAAGACTGCTATCTAAACTAAGATTTTTTAAGTAGCACAAGCTAAAAGTAGGCTTGCAAAAGAACAAGTGTAAGTTGCTTTATAAAAGTGTATTTTTTGGTCTTGTAATTTACAGGAAACAGTAACGTTACGCCGTCTTCACAATTCTGAGAAAAATTGTAGGCGCTACGAACCGGAGCAATGGTAAGATTAAAAATACTTTAATTCTCCTGTATAAGGAAATAGATCCTTTAATAGATATGTTACCGATCTTAACCGTACATTTTGTTTTCTCAGACTAACCTCACCTCATAACGAGGCCGTGACCTCATTTGCTCGGAGCTATGTCTGCAAGTCCAGATACATGCTGATAATGACGACATTGTGTGTAAGTAACTTTTACTATTTTCTCCTTTATTGTGTAATTTTACAGTGACTTATGTTGTTTATTCATATCACTCTCATTTAATTGTTTTCCAGCTGCCTGTAAAACATATTACGAGACAGTGCGCAGGAGCTTCAGGTACAAGCAGCCAGATCTTGCATCGCAGGCGGAAGCTGTGAAGAGTTCAGCTCGGAGTCGAGCGAGAATTAAGAGGGAAGAGGGTAAGATTTATTTGATACGATCTGTTTTTGGACAATTTGACTATTTTTCAGGTGAATTAATAGATGTGTTGTGGTCATACGCAGTGCTGTACTGATTGTCTTTGGTTGTGTTTACAGCTGTTAGAAGCGAGACAGTGTGCTAGCTGAGGATGAGGTGAGCCTTTGGAAGCGCGCTACCACATGATGTCTGATGAGGAAGAGGGCATCGTTGGCGGGGTGTGGATTGTGTGACCTCCGTCCTTTCTCAGCCAGGAGCTCACAGAGCTCTGTGCCACGCTGAAGTCGAGATTAGAGGCGATTCCAAAGTACAAGGATACGCACCACAGACGTCTGCTAAATGGACCAAATTTTGCAGCCACGTAGCTTCCAATTTGTTGTGTGGGTGGATCTCCTACGCTATGTACATATAGTTGTTTGTTTGTGTTAATAAAGCTCTTTCTTTGAATGAACAGCATGTCTCTGGCAAAATAATTTTTTCTTGATGGTAATAATAGATGATAATTGTATATGAATATAATACAACATAATAGATATGAATATATATATATATATGAATACATAATTTAATAGCATATCATATGAATATATATATATATATATATATATATTTGAATATATACATAATTTAGTATGTAAATGTATTATTATTACAATTTTGGGGTTTACATTTATAATGAGGCAGGGTGACCAATAGCAACAGATCTGCCAACCAATCACGAGTGATTTTTCTTGTTTAAATGTAGTGGTTTCAACCAATACTGAGTGAGGTAATTCAAGCCATTCTCTGGCAAGGCGCGCGCGGGCGCTGCTATTCATATGCTAATTAGACCCATTAGCACCTCCGCTAGCTCTCCACATACGTCATATGGTACGTTTCCGTCAGTATGTGGCACAGGCGAACGCGACGTTCGCAGGCTGTAAATTGTCATTAACTGACGAAAATTAGGGAGATTTCCGACCGTTTACGGGGACGAAAATCCCACTTTTCATGCAGTGGCTTCGACCGGATCCCGAGGGAGTCTGGAGATATTGAGTCTGAGTGGACCATGTTCTCCACCTCCATTGTCGACGCGGCCGCTCGGAGCTGAGGCCGTAAGGTCTCCGGTGCCTGTCGAGGCAGCAATCCCCGAACCCGGTGGTGGACACCGGAAGTAAGGGATGCCGTCAAGCTGAAGGAGGAGTCCTATCAGGCCTGGCTGACTCCTGAGGCAGCTGACGGGTACCGGCAGGCCAAGCGGACTGCAGCCCGGGTAGTTGTGGAGGCAAAAAAATCGGGCCTGGGAGGAGTTCGGTGAGGCCATGGAGAAGGACTATCGGTTGGCCTCGAAGAGATTCTGGCAAACCATCCGGCGCCTCAGGAGAGGGAAGACTATAGTATTAATAAAAATAATCAAAATTAATAAAATAATAAATTATTTTAAATTAATTATGAATAAAATAACACCATTTCCTTTTTCATTAGCATATTATTAGTATGCTTTCTGCAAAACATCTTTGCTTCCCCTCACAAATGTATCCAGTAAACCTATAAATGGGCTTAAAGGGTCACTCCACCCATTTCAACATTAATCTTTATTGAAAGTGGGTCATATATGTAGTCGAAATGTAAAAGAAATTTTTAATTTGGTGCCCTCTTGACCGAGAAAAGACAGAAAATAACTTTAGGGCGCATTTGTATGCAAGACAACAACTCCCACAATGCACCACATTGCACAGCTCCGCAAGCCACTCCCACTAATCCAGAACAGCGCAAACATCAGAGAAATCACTCTTCCGTCTACAAGGCTAGCTGCCAAAAGAGTTTGAAATTCATTTCACACAAAGTGTCTAGTTAGTTGGCTGTGGCGAGCAGGACGAGGGCGAGGGACGTGAGAGGACGACGTGAGTGATAATGAATGACACTTGTGAGACGCAGCGGTCTCATATCTCTCACGGAGGAGCGGAAGCACAAAAGGGACAGGCCTGGTTTTATGTTTTGTTTCTGTTGTGTGTGGCCAGCTGGCTTATACTTTTGTTTTGTATTTGTTTATTTTACTATTAAAATGTTTACATGTTCGCCGGTTCCCGCCTCCTTCTTCCCACAACAACGAACCCCGTTACATTGGCAAACTCATTAGCGAATTACTCCTCGTTTGTATTTCTTTCTATATGGTGAATTATTGCATTATTGCACGTAGCGCACAGCGAGAGCACAGGCACCAGCAGTCCGCCCAGCTCGAGCCAGCCCGGGCTCCTTGTCCGCGACAGGCAGCCGCCTCCTGTTCCTCCATCAGCCTCAGCTGCTCTTCACTATATTGCGGCTCGTAAAGATAGCCACGAACATCGGATTCGAGCAGCAGAATTTCAAAATCCTCTTCTTCCATATCATGTTTAGTTTCTTCCGTCATTGTCGTAACTTCCTATCTCCACAGCGCTTGTTAGCTTATAAACAAGATGGCTGATATTGATTTCAGTATCTGCAAGTGAAGTCCCACCCACTGATCTGTGATAGCTCTGTTAGCGCATTAGGTCCAACCCCCTATGGGCGGGTTTGAAAGGGTGGGAACTAGTGCTTGTAGTCTTTACAGAAATCCCCCCTCTTACACTTCCTCCTACAATGACTTAAAATGACGATTTTTGCGTCATTGTAGGAGGAAGTGAAAAAGGTAAATAGCGGATTTCTCTCGTCTCAGGGGAAAATGAGAGAGTGTTGCACGACCATTCAATAGTATGACTGGGTTTCTAACAATGGAAAGCTTAATGCAAATGGGTGTCCCTTTAAAGCATTATGAATCATGTTGAACTTTATGTGCACCATTGGTATGCTTTTTATTTATCATTTGTTTGCAAACCTTCTTCTGAATGTGGACTACGGGCCACATCCCTCCAGCCACGTCCTCCAGATAAGGGGCGAGACGTTGACCACAGTAAGTGAAGTAAACCCTCCCTTTTGGAGGCTGACCTGGTGGAGGTGGAGTGCCTTCCAAACGCTCCCAACCTATACCTGCAACATCACCTGTATCAAAACATACAAGACAAATCATCACTGGGGAGGCTTGAGAAATTTTCATCGAACCAAAAAAATGTCATTAAACTTTGTGAGTGATGACAAATGGTGGCATTTATAATGTTTTAAAATGGTTGCCTACCAGCGTTGGGGAGTAACTAAACATAGCAACCCTACTAACTTTACATACACTACAGAAAAACAGAGAACCAGCATAGCTTTTTCAGTAACAAGGTAATTTTACAAACAAGCATTGGTCTGTTAACAAAACACTACATTGTTGGTTTTTACAGTACAATTGATTTTTATCTTACTCAGTATTTTTCCTAATTTAAGCATAAAACCATGAAAACAATGTTATTGAGTATGTGATATTTTATTGTGCACACAACTTTACAGATGAGGAGTCAATAATCAGCCGATAATAATCATTATGCTCCTACATTAACACTCAATTTCAGATCTGTATGGAAGTAAAATAATGGCAAATGTTTTTAAAACAAAAAAGGCTGTTGAATTGCACTACTTGAAAAAAAAATGCATTGCATTAACCATGCTTGCATTTTAATACATTGTATTTTTAGGGCTTGCATTTTTATGGGCTGAAATTCAGCATGGTTGAATATTTCAATTCAAAACATTTTAAACACATTTTCATTATTAAAAATGCAATAATCCATATTCACCTTTCATATTTCACTTCCAAAATATTCAAACTGTTTAAAACTACAACCTATAATATTCAACAGGCAATTTTCGGTCCATTTTATTTCGCTTTGCAAATTCGCTCCCACAAATTCAGTGGTTCAAATTCGACAGTAAATTCAACGTTGACATCCTGGAACTGCAGGAAAAGCAGTAGATTACCGAGCATAATCTCAGTCTGCTGTTAGTCGACCTCACCAGCAGGGGGTGCAAGCGTGTGTTATTGAAGACCAGAGCAACAGTTAGAGCAAGCCATTCATTCATAAAAACGCTAGTTACGCATGTAACTGTGGTTCTGTGAATTCTGGATGACCGCCAGAGGCAGTGTAAACACTATGGATTATCGCAGCGCCAGCTAGATAGGTCGAGAGAATATACCAACAAAGTCACGTGGCGTGACGTATGCTGAGCCCTGGAGGGTAAAGCTACAGTAGCTCAGCACTCTACCTCGGTACGCCTTTCTCGCGCATTCCGAGTGACAGAGAACTCTGGCGGTCATCCAGAATTCACAGAACCACAGTTACATGCGTAACTAGCGTTCTGTTTCATTCTTACTGACCGCCAGAGGCAGTGTAAACACTATGGATGACACATACCAACATAGTCATGAGGAATGCCACCCACCTGATGAAATTAAGGCTGTTCCAGAAGAACCGCAGAACTAACGGCATGATGAGCAGCAACGTTGACCTTATAAAACCGGGCAAACGTGCATGGAGAAGCCCAGGTAGCAGCAGTGCAGATATCCACCAGGGAAACTCCTCTAAAAACAGCCCATGAAGATGAAATGGCCCTAGTGGAATGGCAAGTTAGTCTCCAGGGCAGTGGTCTCCCTGCCGCCTTGTAAGCCAGCGTAATGGTCTCCACTATCCAGTTCGACAACCTCTGTTTCGACACTGGAGCACCTTTCTTCACACCACCATGGCAGACAAATAACTGGTCTGACCGTCTAAATTGAACAGTAGAGTTCACATAACACTTCAAGGCCCGAACAGGACACAAGAGTTGGGCACTTGAATCGGACCCTGAAGAAGTCTGAAAGGAGGCCAGTTCAATATGCTGATTTATGAACTGAGGAAGAAGGACCTTCGGAAGAAAAGAAGGATTGGGTCGTAGAACCACCCCGGAGCCATCCGGTAACCAACGCAAGCACAGTTCACTAACAGACAACGCGTGCAACTCACTGACTCGTTTCGCAGTAGCAATAGCTAACAAAAAAGAAGTCTTCAAGGACAACCATTTAATGTCAACATTTTGCAAGGGCTCAAACTGGGGTGAGCACAGGAATGCAAGTACGAGTGACAAATCCCACACAGGAAAATGAGGATTCCGAGCAGGGTTCAGACGGCGTGCGCCCTTCAGAAAACTGCAGACAAGACGGTGAGAGCCAAGAGAAGAGCCACCAACTGGAACATGATATGCAGAAATTGCAGCAACGTACACTTTCAACGTGGAAGCTGCTTTTCCTTCCTCCAGTAAACGTTGAAGAAAACTTAAGACACGCGGAATGTCGCATGTTGCAGGATCGAGCCCCCGTTCCTTACACCATGCAGAAAAAAGCTTCCAACGGGAAGCATAAATCTGTCGTGTGGAAGAAGCCCTAGCATTAGAGATTGTGTGAATAACAGCAGGGTCACAATGCTCCAGGGAAGGATTTAACCCAATGGCCAGACCCAAAGCTGCAGACGAGCCGGGTCCGGGTGCCAGACACTGGCCTCCAACTGGGAGAGGAGGTCCTTCCTGGGGGGAAGCTTCCATGGATTGCCTGTCAGAAGTCTCAGCAACAAAGGAAACCACGGTCTGGCTGGCCATCGTGGTGCCACGAGTAACACTCTGTGCTTGCACAGGGAGATCCTGTGCAACGTCTCCCATAACAGAGGGGTAGGTGGAAACGCATAAAGCAGGCAGTTCGGCCATTCGTGAGACAGCGCATCCTGGCCCAGGGGGCTCGACACTTCTGTCCTTGCGAACCATAAGCGACAGTGGGTGGTCATCTCTGAAGCAAAAAGATCCACCTCTGCTCTTCCAAATCGTAGCCAGATCTCCTGCACTACATCTGGATGAAGCCTCCATTCTCCTGGATGTACTTGATCCCTGGAAAGAGCATCTGCTGTCTGGTTGCACACTCCTGGAATATGAGCTGCCCTCAGTGAAGCGAGTCGTGGCTGACACCATGTCAGGATCTCGTGAGTCAACCATAGAGACCTGCGGGATCTCGTGCCGCCCTGGTGGTTCAGATGGAACACTGTTGAGGTATTGTCTGACCGAACAAGAACATGGCGGCCTGCCAGAACCGGCATGAAGTACTTTAGAGCCAAGAACACTGCCCTGAGTTCTAGCAGGTTGATATGTTCCGCGGCCTGGATCGGAGTCCAGCGCCCGGAAATACCCCTCCGATTCCACGTTGCCCCCCATCCTGTGAGGGAAGCGTCTGTCGTGACCAACTCCCGACGAGAGGGAACAACACCCAGGGGCACTCCTGCCTTCAGAAACTCTAACTGTCTCCACCGCCTCAACGCACATATGCAACGGTGAGAAATTATAACCAGTTGATGACGATGTCTGGTGGGATCTAGCCGCAAACTGTTGTTCCATAACTGGAGTGGTCTGAGATGGAGTAAACCCAGGGGGATCACAACTGTAGCCGCTGTTAACATCCCTATCAGTCGTAGGACCACCTCGTACTGCAAAGACACACCCGGACGAAAGCGAGCCAAAAGTTGTAGAATGTTTGTCACACGTTCCTGAGATAGGGAGGCAGACATTAGGCAGGAATTCAGGGTCATTCCTATGAACGTAGTGGTCTGTGATGGAATCAAACGGCTCTTTTTCTTGTTCACAGAAAACCCCAGCTTCTGCACATGTCTCAAGAGCAGTCTGGAGTCTTGTACGGCCTGCTGCTCTGTGGGGGCACAGAGAAGCCAGTCGTCCAAATAAGGAAGAATACGGATACCTCTCATCCAAAGAGGAGACAGAGCTGCGCTCACACACCTTGTGAAGACGCGAGGAGCAAGGGAAAGGCCGAAGGGTAGCACTTTGAACTGGTATGCTTGATTCAGGAAACTGAAACGTAGAAACTTTCTGTGATGTACAGCAATTGGGACGTGAAAGTATGCATCTTTCAGATCGACACTTACAAACCAATCGTCTGCTGTCACAGACCGGAGAACATCGGCTGTGCGCAGCATTCGGAAGGGAAGGACCTTCAGGAACAAATTCAGAAGCCTTAAATCGAGAATTGGGCGGAAACCACCGTCCTTCTTTGGAACAAGAAAATAAGTTGAATAGAACCCGTCTCTCTGAACGAGGGGATGGACCTTTTCTATGGCTCCCTTCTCTAACAGTGAACAGATTTCCAGAGAGAGAGCCACTGCGCGAACCGCGTCTCTGACAATCGTAGGAACAATTCTTGAAAATCTGGGAGGCCGGCGCCGAAACTGTAGAGTATATCCCCTGCTCAGAGTCGCCAACACCCAGGGGTCTGCTGTGTTGGATCTCCAGTACTCCAGTTGCTCTACAGAAAAATGATCGACCGCCGGCCTGACTGTCTCAGGCTTTACGTGTGCGATTTTTAGTGGTCGCGGGGGGACGCTGACGGGGCCCTCCCGGAAACTGTCGATGAGGTGGGCGAAAAACTCTCGCATCTTCAGGAACACGAGGTCTTTGAGGGGGCTGTGACTGAGGTGTAGCGTGCCGGCGGAAACGCTGCTCCGATGCGGCATAGTGATGTCGGGTCTGAACCGCTGGCATCCTAAAGGTAGGGTTGCGCTGCACCTGTGTCAGCTGACGAGTGGCTTCAGACAGCTTTACCCGCTTTTCCAACAGTTCCGGAACATTTGGACCAAAGATATGCCCGGGAACAAAAGGAAGATCTCTCAAGGTTTTCTTACAGTCCTCCGGCAGTCGTGCTTGGGCAAGCCACACTTGGCGGCGGGCTGCCAGAAGCGTGGCTGTAAGACTACCCAGCTCGCGGGTCACATGGCCTGTCGCCAACAGAGCAGTTTGCAGAAATTGTGAAATAGAGGGATCTGCATTTGCAGGTTCCAGCGTACTGGTGGCAGCAAGAAGTAACTGGCAGATCGTGTTTTCTGCTCGAGTAATGTAGGCAACAGACTCGTATGCCTTTTTTAGCAAGGAATCCGTACGACCGCATTGAGCACTGGGGCATCGCACATTCCCTCGTAGAGCCTCATCAGGAGAGACCACCAAAGCTGCCACAGGCTGCTCTATTTCCGGAGCACGACCCACCCCGATAGAATCTGCTTCAGCCATAGATGCTAGCGTTCGAGCAATCTTTGAGCGCC